CTCGCCCGACCGTGTCAATCCCGCTGTTCCTCTTCGGTCTACCTTTCCTCAAAAGCCGAGTCCTAAACCCTCGCCTTTCATCGACGGAAAAAGACCTTTGGCTCGCGCGCCGCAGTATATTCTGTCTTACTGTTGGAACCCTCGGAATCGGCCTCTCCCCAACGATTGCGACTCTAATTCCCAGCATGGTCATTCAGACATCCGGATCGGGCTTTGTTTTCCTTTGCCGTTCTATCATTACCACTTTGGTTGAACGTGATGAGACCGCTCGGTTGTTTACTGCGATTGAGATTATCCAGTCATTGGGAAATGTGGTTGCGAGTTTATCCATCACCACCGTCTTCCAGATTGGACTGCGTCTCGGTGGGTTCTGGATTGGTCTCGCGTGGATGATGACCAGTATCCTCTTCTGCTTGGTAGGAGTAGCCATCTGGTCTTTTAATCTACCTCCAAGTCCTCCGTCACCGGACTTTGTGGTGGAGGATCATGATGGGGATGACAGGGCGTGATCTTAGAGATCTTGTATACTACTCATAGCCTTTGTGCGCACTTAGAACATTTCTTTTTTTTGGCATCTCTTATATTATATAGAACTATGTTTGAAAATGATCAAACCAATAACACAGAACTTAATATCCGAAGGTCCATCATTCCGTACCTCAGTCACCTGCAACTCTTATACTCCAGGAAAATGTTGGCTTTGTGCCTTAGGCATATATCACGTGGCAGCTCTTTTCGCATGTGAAGATCACCAGCTGGTCAAACCAATTTCACTGACAGAACTAGCCCCGAGTTCGAGTCGCATCTTGTGCTGCCAAGACATTACCACATAAACGCTTCCTTAGCGCATGGCTTGTTGAAGATTGAGCCCGTACCCCAGCTCATTCTGCCTATAGCTGTCATAGCACGAGATGGAGAGATACTCTCAGTTCCGGGATCGAGGTGAATTTCCGCTATGATGACCAGCCCTCCAAGCACACTTATACTGACATGTCCTAGGCTCTGGAATTGCGCCCTTCCTCCCAATCCCTGTTGAACGATTCGGCCTCCAAGCTCCCCTTCGTATTTTCCTCTTCTGCTTCCGCCTCCCACTCTTCATCTTCGTTACTCTTAGCTATTTTTTGATCTTACAATGGCTTCCTATCGGATCGCTGGGCAAGAAGGCTGCTCTCTGGTGTATCCTTGGAGTTCCTAGCATCTGGTGGATTGATCTCCAAGTGGACGGAGTGCGCAAAGGGTTCGTGCTGTACTATTGGAATTATAGCCTGTTCCGCTGATAACTAACAATCCTCACACAGGTCTTTGAAGCAACAGCAAGCGCGTCTACCACAGCCCGGCTCGGTCATCGCCTCGTCCTTCACCTCGCCCATTGATGCCGTCTACCTGGCAGCTATCTTCGACCCGATCTTCACGGCATCCTACCCCAACACTCGCCAGGTCGAGCGCATCTCCCTGCTCCAGGCCATTCTACGAGCCTTCGCTTCCCCCGCCACACAGCCGGCCCCTGGTGCCCAGATGGTGGATGTCTCGACCCTCGTCGAGCAGTATCCCAGCAGGCCGATCGTATTGTTCCCAGAGTGTACCACTACCAACGGTCGCGGCATCTTGACCCTAAGCAACTCTCTTCTCGGCGTGCCCCCCAAGACCAAGATCTTCCCTGTCAGTCTGCGCTATACGCCTATGGATATCGTGACCCCGCTCCCCGGGAGTTATATGAGCTTGCTGTGGACGCTTCTTAGCAAACCGACCCACTGTATCAGAGTGCGCATCGCGGAGTGCATTACAAATAGCCAAAATGTCACTGATGCAACTCGCAAGTCGACCTATAATACGAATTACCTCGACACACTAGACCAAAACGGGCAAAAAGAACAAGCCTCGACCAGCGAGAAGGCGTTGCTGGATAATGTGGGAGAGTCGCTAGCTCGTCTGGGTCGGGTCAAGCGGGTTGGCTTGGGAGTGAAAGAGAAGCAGGAGTTTTCCAGAGCGTGGAATCAGAGTCGTCGGACATGGTGATCTCGATAAATAGTTTTTCTTTCGGTATAATTCTATATTTTCAATATTTGAACCGGAGCTTGGGGATTGGTTTCTATCCAGGTATGAAATTGTATAGTTAAAACTTGCTGTATAAGGAGGGTGCCCTCATCATTGAGTCACGATGTCCATTCCGAGGCGGTTGTCGATACAAACCTGACCAAGGCCCTTCCTTGTATATTTGATTGGACTTGGAGCAGCTCTTAGATTTGAATTAAACCAACAAGTCACAAATATTGTGTGTGTACCCTCTCCTACTGAACTTTCGTTCGCAGATGTGTCAAGCCTCAAAGCATCCCAATATCCCAATATCCCAATATCACCCGAAGTGCATGAGAGCAAATGGAAGTGCTTCGAAACTTGAGACTAATCAGTTGGATGAATTCTATTTGGACTACGTGGGTCCCCCTGAGGTAGATCTTTTCATCTCAGCTCCTTCCTCTCTTATTTTTTTCCCGATCTACTTCCCACATCTAAGACCTAACCGAAGACACACTTTTCAGAGACTGACCATGCTTCTAAAGCTGCTTTTTTTGGCAGTGGGCGCCATATCGGTGGCTCTTGATGGCCCCAATGAGGCATTGAGGTCATGCTTCGAGAATGCCCTAAAAGACCAGGGGAGTTTTGCCTTGGTCGGTGATCTGTTCTATGACCGTATTGTGAATCGCTACAACCTGAACATTCCCGTTACTCCGGCCGCAGTGGCCTTTCCCACGTAAGTGTCCTCGTAGAGAATGATTCGTTATGTTCCTTGCTCATAGACCACAGTTCTTCTCAGGAGGTGGCTGCAATTGTTCAATGTGCCGCAGAGAACGGATATCCAGTCCAGGCCAAAAGTGGAGGGCACAGCTATGGCAATTATGGTGAGATTAGATTCTGAAACTAACTTGACGCAGAGTAATTTGACTTGAAGACTAACATGAGACATGCGACAGGCATCGGAGGAACAGACGGTGCTGTTGCAATTGACTTGAAGCATCTCCAACAATTCTCCATGGACAATACATCCTGGCAAGCGACAATTGGGGCGGGAAGCTTGCTAGGTGACGTGACACAGCGGCTGTACCACGCCGGAGGACGGGCTATGTCTCACGGGATTTGTCCTCAAGTCGGTTCAGGGGGACATTTCACAATCGGTGGTCTTGGTCCGACTTCGCGTCAATTTGGTGCCGCACTTGACCATATACTGGAGGTTGAGGTCGTTCTTGCGAACGCGAGCATTGTCAGAGCCTCGGATACGGAAAACCAGGATCTCTTTTGGGCTATCAGAGGTGCTGCCTCCGGCTACGGTATCGTCACGGAGTTCAAGGTCCGAACTGAGCCTGCGCCTGGTACTGCGGTGCAGTATGCATACAGCTTTGAGATTGGCGACCCCAAGCATCAGGCGGCCCTTTTCAAGAGCTGGCAGGCCTTCGTGTCAGATCCGGAGTTGACTCGAAAGATGGCGTCTACCCTCACTGTGCTGGAGAAAAGTATAGCAATCAGCGGTACCTTCTTCGGCACCAGGGAAGAGTATGATAGGTTGAACCTTGGCAACAAGTTCCCCGGTGCAAATAGCAGTGCATTGGTTTTTGATGACTGGCTAGGTCTTGTCACTCACTGGGCCCAGGATATTGTTTTGGAATTGGCAGCTGGAATCCCAACCAACTTCTACGCAAAATCTACTTCTTGGACTCCTCAGACCGTTATGACCCCGGAGACTATCGACAAAATGTTCGACTACATCAATACCGTCGACAAGGGTACTTTGAGCTGGTTCCTGTTGTTCGATTTCCAGGGAGGTTACACCAATGACATCCCAACTAATGCTACATCTTACGCCCACCGTGATGTCCTCATCTGGCTACAGTCCTACACAATCAACATATTGGGACACATCTCCCAGGCCCAGATCAAGTTCCTCGATGGAGTTCATAAGCTCGTCACCAACGACGCGCTTCCCTCCACTGCCTACCCGGGTTACGTTGACCCTCTTATGCCCAACGCCGCCGAGGCATACTGGGGCACCAATCTACCTCGACTGCAGCAGATCAAAGAGCAAGTTGACCCGAACAATGTGTTTCGGAATCCACAGAGCCCATCTCCTGCAAAGAAGGCACCATTGTGACAAACCACCAGGTCTTCTACATTCAGCGCTACGTTGAGCAGTCATAGAGTAATCGAAGTCTGAGTTAATCAAGTAGACAACATTTTACCTTTCAATTTCTCATATTTTGTATCTCTATTCAATCTCGCTCCTCTGCTTCGCTGCCCACTCCTCACTCTGACGAGACGTCCATTCCCAACGAAGCGCCCACATCTCTCGATTCAACTTCTCCGAGCACCCTGAGCACATCCCCGCCTTTTGATAAAGCCGGTCTTCGGGAATTCCAATGATGCCGATATTGAGGGCTCGTAAAACACGTCCTGTACATCGCTCTCGTTGGGAAAATGGTATTCCGAACTCTTCACAGCGTTCAATTCGTCGGAAACAAATGCAGTTGCACATTGTCCACAATTCATAGGTTTGTACGCACATTTTGAGGGTTCTTTTCTTTAGCTTAAGTCGATGGAATGGATATAGATACTGTATAGTATATTTGGGGGATTATGTTGCCTAAGGGTTGAGGTCGGGATATATGTTTAGGAGCTAGTGGATGGGTATATATTTGAGGTAGGAAATACCAACTATTCATTGATCTTTGAAGACCATGGTCTTTAGTTTTTTTTTTTTTTTTTTGTTTCTTTAAAGTCTTGCTTTGAGCTGGTCTCTATTATTACCAAGACAACCAGATAAACAAAGGCATACATATATGTACACAGAACATTACCAACATCTCAAAGGAAAGCAATTGCCAATAATACAGCGATTGAACAGATGTGCCGCAAATATCAAAACAGTAAATGGGTATTGGGTATCTCAATAGCTCGCCAATGGACACAAAACCTCCGCACATTAAGCCCTGACACATACATATTATGATCCATCATGACCTTTTACTCAAGGCATCTCTCGCCAAGGCATCAATATGACGAGAATATAAGTCCATAAAATGCATCACAGGGTCCCCAAAGACCACACCTTGAAGCTCAGTATCCGTAATCCCACAGGCATCCACATTCCCCCTCGGTGGCAGTGCAGGCGGTCCACCAGGGACCGACAGCGGTACAAACACAGGGCGGGTATTCTGTTGATCTCGCGGACGAAGAAGAACAAGCCGACCAGCGAGCGACAGATCAGAAGAAGGAATCCTCCAATATATAGGAGCGGATTTCTTCTTCCTGTCGTACAAGGCAAGTATTGATCCGGGAGCGGGTGAAACATACAGATCTAGCAACGAGAGAAAATAGTTCTTGTCAGCACGGGAGACCGGGTCCCCTTCATTGATAAACGCGAAGAACATAGACTTTGAGCCCCGGGCTGTCGGAGAGGGCTGTAGCGGACGAAGCGACAGAGGCGGAGCACCGAAAGTAACACAGTGGATGTGTTTAAAGCAGCCGCGGAGATGGACGAGTTCGGATTGCACGGCTGGAGACTCCGATAGGAGATGGAGATATAGTAAGCTGGCGACGGCGCCGCCTGCGGAGTGACCGGTGAAGACTAGCGAGTAGGACATTCGTGTTGGATCTTCTTCGAGGAGATTACGTAGCCGGGCTGCGACGGGGATGACCATTTTTCGGGCAACTGATAAGAATCCCGAGTGGCAGAGATTGGAATGGTCGTCTAGAAAGCCTGTTGGAGAGGTTGGTGCGGCCCGGACGTTCACGGCCCAGTCTAGGAAACTTTGCGTACCGCGTATGGCGAAGACGATGGTGTTCATGTCGTCGATTGGTAGGGACTTGACTACCATGGCTTTGGTACCATGTAGCCAGTCTGAGTCGACGTAGGAATGTCGTTCACGGCTTGAGGGTTTGTCGTAGACGCGGCGGGAGTACTTGGCTGCGAGTTGGAGGAGAGGATATGTTGGAGGATAGCTTAATGGGAGATTAGCAAGTTGGGCTAAATAGTAACCTGGGTGTATAGATAGGGTCTTACAATTTTAGTGGTGGTAAATGGGGTGGTAATCGCGAATTGGCATATAGATACACCTTGGAGAAGTAATCCACAGATCCAGTTGGTTTCTTCCCTTTTCGCTGTGATCGGCGATCTTTCTTCTCGTCTGACTGGGGAGGAATTGTACATGCGGCAACTATTTGTCACTAATGAGTATATTTTCATATATGATTGGAACTATGGCACTTACTCAGTTCATTTTCTCTCCCACAAAATGATCCCAGGTCGATCGAAGTGATGACTTGGTCTAATAGCCGCGATGTGGCCTCCTTGACGTTCGCACCACCACCCAAACTTTGATGGACCAAATGCTCGAGATCCAGAATCGTGGCATTGGTTTTTTCGACTGTATGCGATACTAAACTGGTCATTGATTGGTTTAGATTCGTACACGAGGACCATTTTGAGGGTCTCGGTGGTTGAGAGTTCCCTGGCGGACTGTTTAGAGTAGTTCCTGAGAATTGATGAAGTGGATGTGGATGTGGTGTTGGCTGAGGTTGTAGATGAACCATGGACATTGCCGGATTTTGATTATATGGGACTGCAGCGGTATGGAATGTATTGACTGAATATACCCCCGCTGGCGACGCATACGGAGGTTGGACATAGTTCTGCGGTACCCCTATTCTGCTCTCTCGCTGATTCGGTCGTGGCGGTTTTGGCGGGGGTGTTGGAGATGACGGTCTCCTTGAGCGACTCGAACGTCCAAAGGCCATGGTATATATATATATATATCCCAACTCAGTTGGTGGAATGCGTGGAGTGGTTAGATCCAATGTGCCATGTGGTTATCCCATGAAATTTTAAGAGTTTTAAGAGCCCCAATCCTTGCACATCGTATATCGATGTAAGACAGAAAGAGAAAAGCAAGGATGCAAGAGATATGCAGGTTCATCACGCCAAATACGCTTAGCAACTCTCATCACGCGGATTCTCCATCAACTTCGGCTCTGCTGGGCTTCGATAGGCTGAAGGCCGAGTACGAGACACAGCCCCAATCCAGGGCGCCCCCACAACAACTGCGATTGGTCGCATGTGAACAAAGCTTGGATTTCAGCTGAACAGACGGAGGATGTTATATATCATTTTGGAGCTGTCAATATTACAAAGGTACATAGGATTAAATCTTGGTAATTAGTTACCTAGGAAGAGTATAAAAAGTATAGCAATTAAAAGAGATGAAATACAAGCACGGACCAATCAAATCCAGAACTATACAACTGTCTACGCTGAAACTGAGAAAGAACATTGGCTTGACTCGCATTTTTAGTGATTTTGTTCGAGGGCATGTTGAGCCCATATAGTAGGCATCAAGTCTGACCCCTTTGTTAGCGGCTGAGTGGCGAACCATAGCTCTGGCTTGTTCTTGTTTATTGGAGGTGACTACATATATCTTCCTAGCTCTCCCTGTGTAACTTGGAAGCGGAGATCAAGATGGTAGTTGTTGGCTAATTCGGTCACGAGTCATGACAACGTGATCATCGCCAGTTGGGATGTCTGCAGTAGCGGACAAAATGGAAATGTGTCTTGTATTTCCGTATCTTACCTCATGGAGGCACATATGTAGTTGTATGTAAAAAAAGGGTATAAAAGCCGGTCTAGCCATAAAACATAACATTCAATCCACATAATGACCCGTGTAGTCATCGTGTCTCGTGAATAATAAGAATCAATAATAATAATAATAAAAAAGAAAAGTAGAAGAAAAGGTATGTGAGTCAAGAAAGGGAAGAGGAGAATGAGGGAACGTCAGACAGGTGAAAAAAAAAAGGGAAGAAAAAGAAGGATAATATACGGAGACAACAAGGCACATCGGAGACCGGCTCTATGGCACTTCTTTGTCGCCTCGTTTCAGACCACCAGGCACATCGATAGCATCACGCACCCAATCAATAGCAGCAATCTCATCAAGGGTCTTGCGCTTCGTGTTGCGTTTGAGAAGACCTTCCACGCAGTCACGGGCCCCTTCAAGTCCTTTACCCTTCTCGGGATCCCATTCCTCCTCCTCGTCGGCATATCTATACCAAGCCCATTCACAACGTGCGATACGATGCGGAGTGCGGGCACGAAGTTTGGCAGGATCTCCTCGAGTGCCAGGCAGAACATCAAAGGGTAATCGGTTCTCCATGATGGCATAGAGTAGAACGCCGAGTGCCCAAGCGTCGGTGGCGCGGCCATCGTAAGCCTGACCCATCAGGATCTCGGGGGCTGCGTAGTCTTCGCTGCCACATCGGGTATGCAGAAGCGGGCTCTCGGGCGGTTCAGGGATGCGTCGAGACAGTCCGAGATCGCTGAGGGTGACCACGGCGCGGTCGTAGGTACGCCAGTCCTGCACGTCATCCATAAAATGAGCGGGAATGGTAAGCAGAACATCTAGACATAGTCAGTACAAGGTCTGCAGTATTTTGCCAAACAACACTGGCTCACTTTCTAACTTGATGTCCCGGTGAACGATGTAATGAGCATGCAGATAACGCACAGCATGCACCAATTCAGCAAAAACACGCCGGATCAAATCCGCAGACATACGAGGAGCTCCTGACGTTGCAAACTCGAATAGATCACCACCAGGACAATAGTCCAAAACCAACAAAGCACGCTTTTCATCGCTGCCGAATGCTTTCAGTTGGACGAGAGACGGATGGTTGACCGACTTCAGGATTTCTACTTCACGCTTGAGTGACACCTCCAGCCGGCCCTCATCTGCGCCACCGGCAGGTCCATGCTCAATGATTTTGACGGCGACGAGCTTTTGGTTGTTGACAAAACCGTGGAATGCGCCAGCTCCATCCCCATCCGGTGACAAAGGCATGTCGGGGATAGGTTCCACGCGTGCTGCCAGACTGACCTGACTGAACGTGCCCTGACCCAATGCCCGGACTTTCTGGTAGATACGGGCCTGCTCGGTGCGGACCGACCGGACGGAATATATCTCTTGGGGCGTGGAGAGCGGGACAGGATGACGGATGACGGGTTCATTGTCACTATATCCACTGCCACTGCTGCGAGGCGGGCTGGGAGGACGAACGGTCGGCAATGCGATACCTCGGTGGACAGCGAGATATTGCTCGCGATGAAGTCCATTGGACTTCGAATCTATACTGGAGGACGAGGCAATGCCAAGCCCGGTATTCCCTGGCACTGCAATCGGACGGGGAGGAACAGAGACACGGCCGGGTGGCGCATAGTCACTCAGACTGCGGTTCCGAGAATGAGAATGATAATTCTTTGAGGAAGAGTCGCGACGACGCCAATTGGTCATGGATGACTCCTCCCCTTGGCCATCAATTCCAGTGTATGGCTTGGCGCGCGAACGGGGCATGACGGGTGGCCCAAGCATCTGTGAGGAATCGCTCAGGCGAAGGCTGGAACCGCTCCGCGACGCCATGGACGAAGAACGAGATAACGAAGGCAGATCGGCTCTCCGCCACGGCGAGGCTCCTCCAATTGGCGACGGCAATGGAGTTATGTCACCCATCGCATTCAATTGAGGCGAGGACATGATGGATGCTGGTGATAAGGAACCCGCACTGTATATAGGTGGTGCGATGAGGGCACGAAGACTGGGGGTACGGCGTGGATAACTTCCGGACAAACTAGTCGAAACATAAGGATCAGAGTCGCCAGAGCTGGACTGTTGAATACTAGGTAGATCGGTGCGAATCTGGAGAGAAGGTAGTGGCGACTCGGGATTAAGTATGGAAGGTACGAGCTCGTCTACCAAAAGACGGCTATGTGCGTCCTCTTTCTTTGTATGTTCATTGTCGCTTGCATCTTGAAACATCGTTGACATGGTCGATAGACCGGACTTGGTATATTATTGGAACCAAAAAGGTATTGGGTTGGGGAGGAGGGGGATGACTCGGCCGCAAACGGAAGGCCGGGAGCGTTGAGTTCCTCCGGGGTGTGTGGGGGGGTCGGAGTCACAAGATTTAACGGCCAAAGATAAGACTTCCAAGGTTGGGAACTCCCCAACTAAGCCTCCAGGCCTAAATGGCCTTAGCGTGGGAAGACCCGTTAAGGGTCACACCTCTCTTAGGTATGAAAGTTCATATGAAGGTGGAAAATAAGAATAGATGGTCAAAAATGAAGGACGAGTAAATGCAATTAAAAAGGAAAGAAAAACGCCATGGTCTGGGCGATGCAGCGAAAAGAAGAGAAAAGAAACTAAACAAAAAACTAAAAAACCACAAAAAGAAAAAAAAAAAAAGAAAAGAAGATGAGCAGGACGAAATTAATCGGACACACTAGTCAGCTGACGATCCTAATCTGGTTAGCCGACCATGTGTTCCCCGCAGTGTTTACTTGAGTTTATATGTCCTTACTGATTTGGAGATATTCGAATGGATTAGAAGATGAGAGTTGATATTATCCTCATATTTATGTCTACTATACATTTGAAAATAGGTTGATTAATATGACTTGATATTGACATTTATCTTTTAATACCATGTTAATACTGTGTGATCCCTGAAGTTGTTTGCTCCGAGTGTAGTTCCCAATGAGGAAGGTGGTATGTCTATCATCTGCACTTTTCTGTGGGTCTCCAAGACTGAGGTATGTTGTATAGTTAGTTATGTTGTAGTTATATGTTGTAGATTTATACCTCATAATATCAATGAAGATCGTTTCTACCATTTTCTATATTCTACGCTGTATATCCATTCTCGTTCCTACATACCTCAATATTCAACCCTTGCCCTTGGCCCGGATCGCTTTATCTGCAGTCATGTAGGGGACAAACGCGTCCTGTGCGCCACTGGTAATAACTAATTTTAGTTCTCGCCGTGGCTCACCAATCGAACCCAAAATCGAAGCCCCCCCCGCCTTGGCATGGCTGCTGACCGTATAACGACACTCTGTTGGTGATCCTGTAGAGCACCGTCATCAAATTCCGACTCGTCCAATACGAATCGATAAGCCAAGTCATTCTCCATTCTTGAGAGTTGACGTGGCCTCGATCCATCCCGTTATAACCCATTCTCCGGGTAAATCAGCCGCATACTAGTAATCGCTGGGCCCATCTTTACGGCTGCTGCGGGAGAGGCGTCGAATCGCAAGGGGCATAATGTGCATACGTTCAATTAATTGGAGGGGCCGTGTGGCCATTTCCAAGATTAGCGGGGTTATTTTTTGGTTTCAGGGTTCTGGGGTTGGAAATCCTCCAACCTTCCTTTGCACCATTAAGACCAAGGTCAATTACGGTATCAGGAGCAAAGCTAAGAGACAAAAGACTTGCCAACAAACTCGTCAATCAGCGTCGCGTCGTGCACCCCAGCACCGTGCCCATTTGCTGGCTGAATAAAGTGGCTGGGAAGGGATCGGCACATATGAACCCGCAGACCAGGATCCGACCGTGGTGGGGCTTTATATGTTGAATCCTGAGCTTCACACCGAAAATGATAGGATTTGAATTTTAATATCAAACCAACAATATTAAAGAGCTGGCTCTTGGGGCGTCCTTCTCATTTGCCAGGTGATTCCTCCGTATCTGCGAACTCATTGTTCATTTGCGCAGATCATGCTTCTCGAAGTCGGGTGTCTGCAGATGGCTGCATTCTAGAACCAGCGGATGGATTCAACTAGAATTCAACTCGACATATCGATCGCATTAACTCACGTCACAGATCTTATATAGATCGATTGTGAGCCTACTCTCGAATAAGCTGGTTCCAACTCTTAGGCTGTGTCCATCTAGTGTACCTCGTTAACTTCTCAGTCGTCATCGCTACCGGGCGCGTCTTGTTGCAATATTGTGTAAGGCTGGCTTTGGGACCTACGCTACTTGTGATCAGACAGGGGCAGCCTCATTTGTAACCTCGAATTTGTATTTTAGAACGATAAAATGAAGAGATACGTAGCACTATCAAGTCAAGTGTTGCATTCAATCTTTCGTGTAGGATGCTGACGCCGAACACCGAACGCTAGGCGCATGAAAGCAAAACCAAAGGCCACCCAGATCTGACAGATATAATCAACACAATTGAGATATTGTTTTCATCTCTTTCCGACGAAACCCCCTCCCCCAAATAGGGGAGATTGACGGTCCATTTTGGCACACGGTTTCCCGATTTGGGGCCTTCTGTTCTCTATACCTGGAATCAGGGTATCTCCCCCGAGCTTTGATGACCTTCCCCCTGTTAAGGGGATACCACAAGGCTGTGCATGGGGCGTCTTCGACAAAGACGATAAGAAAGATGTCATGGGCACCTTGAATCTACTCACCCCAGAAGTCTTCAAGAATGCTGTCGCGGAGGTTCGCCAAAGCGTGTCTATTTCTCTAAAGTGAATGCCCTCCACTATCTCCAGAACATGATCCCTAATACCACCAATTGGCCCATCGGAAGCATCAAAATTCCAGGGTTCTATCGAAAAAGCCTCTGTCACTATGTTACAAAGTTGGAAGACCCAGAATATGGCAGCCACTATGGGTTTGACGATGAGGTATTGTACTGCCGGGTGGTTCTCTCTTCTACTAGAGCTAATCAACTCCAGATTGAGTTCAATACTCAAGCCAGTAATCAATGGCATAGCTTCGGTGTGTCCAAAAATTCTAGCCTTCCGAATTCAAAGAATAACACCTCAACCCAGCTAACTTCATACATCTCCCAACCGGCCTCACCTACAACGGAGCAAAACCAACAATCGATGCCTTTCAAACCCCCGAATCTACCCAGCATCTCCCAACACTAGACCGTAAGGAAATCCCAATCAAACTCAACCCCAACACTGAAAAAGGCTAACGGAGAAAACCCAGACTGGCACCAACGTGATTGTGTGACAGGCCGAGGCGTACTAATCGACTTCAAGAGTTACGCACAGAACCACGGAATAAGCTACGACCAATTCTCCGGTTTCCGCATCGGAATCGCCGAGTTATAAGCAGTCGCTGCCTGACAGGGACTAACCTTCCGAGCAGGAGATATCCTGCTCGTCCGATTCGGCGTAACAGAGACGCTGAGTCAAATGACCGGTGTCGAGCAGGGCGCTGCGATGAGCAGTGGCAAGATGTGTGGACTGGAGGGGAGTAAAAAAATGGCGCGACGACTTTGGGATCGACATTCCGCTGCTGTTACTAGTGATAATACGGCTGTTGAGACTATGCCGCCTATCATCGATGGCGTTGAGCAGCCTACCCATGAGCTGAGCTTGTGTTGCATCAGTGGTGTCTTAGTTTGTTGGGTATTCCGCTTGGGGAGCTTTGGGATTTGAAAGTGTTGACTCATGCTTGTAGGGATAGTAGGAAGTAGTTTTTCTTGCTTACTTCGTCGCCGTTGAATTTCCCTGGTGCTATTGCGAGTCCTTCTAATGTACTGGCTTCTGTGAGGAGAACATGTTTTATGATGCATTACCGGTTTCAACTGGTATTAGTTTGTAGGGGGCTAATGCATATGATCTTTTTGGTGACTTTTTATTTGTAGAGATTTGAACCAGTGATACAAGTTCATACTCGTAGTGTTGTAGATATCTGCTCTGTGGGGAAAGGGTTCGAGTACCCACTTTGGACTCCACATGGCTTGTTCTGTGGGCCCCCGAGTATTTATAGACGGGTGGAACATCTCAGGGCAATTGGTAATGGGTTTAACGAAGAACAACTGTTGAACGAAGAACAACTGTTGAACGAAGAACAACTGTTGAACGAAGAACAACTGTTGCCCCGGTGAAAGATATCATATGACGTTGTCTCCTGTATGTTTCTATCCATATATTCAAACAAGCATGAAGTCAAAATCAGCTTCCCTTGCAATATCCTGCCACTGTATATCGACATACGGTCCAGCCGCTGTCCGCCGGTTCCACAGGGCTTGAACAATTTCACATAATATATTGATATTCTGGATCCCGTGCCGACTTTTCCGGTCAAAGAATGCCAACATGCGACCTTGCAGATCAGATCGCTCGCAGTCAGCCGCAATTACAAAACTTGCCCAGTTGTAGGAACAACCGCCCTTGTCACGCGTGAGCGCATCAACAGATTCAAGCTCGTGTATTGCTTTCTCGATCAAATCCTGTACGTCACACAAAAGTGCGCCACGCAAACTGCGGCGGAAGTATACAATCGTCGCATAGTAGAATGAGTTCAGAGCGTGTTGGACGATGATCGAACCTGGGGCGTTTGGGTTGGACGGGGATGGAAAGTTCAAGTAGAGTTGGAGTTCAAGTCGGTCTAGTTCTTCGACGGATAGCTGTGTCCGGGATTCAACAAGTGTAGTGATTTGAGCGAGGTATTGGACCAGTGGTGTTGTGACTCCATGAGATCGCTCTAGGTGGTGATGGAAATCGGAGGGGCCATTGAGGAGCGACATCAGCCGTTCGGGTATAGGAAGACTACATAGAGACGAAAGAGACAGATAACTTTGAAGTAATCTAGCAGCAGTCGGACTTTGGATCCAGTCGCCTTGGACCTCGTTTTGCAGGAGGCCAAGGCATCCAGAAACATGCGCCCTCCATCGGCTGCGGCGACCAGACATAGCTTCAGCGGAGATGCAGGTGAGTACGGCAGCTAATGTGGGCTCATCTAGGCAGCGAGCCCGCTGCAGGCTTCCTCGCAAATGACGCAGAGCTAGTTGGTCATGGTGGACGGCGAGGGAGTGGTACCGCGAATCGTGGCGGAGGTGAGAAAGGCTGAAGGCAGAGGAGGCACAAATGGCGTGGAAGATTGAGAGATGGATGTTCGACTCTGTTGGGGAGGCATCGAGGCCTTTCAGAGCCAGAGGCAGGAACACTGTCCGGCAGGGGTTGTCCGCGGTGTCGATTAGGAGCATGTTTCCGCTGAGAAAAACAACCCAGTGATGGACTAGCTCTGTCTCTGGTCTGGGGAGAATCAATGGACTCATGGACTTCCAGATGGAGATCTCGGTCCCATCGTTGCAAATATTTGATACTGGTCTGCCATAATCACTCGGTTCTGACAGCCTGTTTTCGGAATTTTTATGATTAACGACATGAGCAGTTGCGTTAATAAAGATGTCATCAACCCGATAATTAGGATCCGGCAATGCTGTGCATGATTCCTCGTTGAATTCAGACGCAGATGGTGGGGTAATAGGTGATAATCTGTCCCATGTTGGTCTCAGTGAAGCCAGCTCGTTATCTCTGTCACCAACTGGTGGGTTAATTAAGTCCGACGAGGTATACTGCGTAACTTCCACATTTTGGGTTGAAAGTGTATCTTCCAAGTTGAGTAGATCAACACAGCCTGAATCTGGATTCTCGGGGCATGAAGAAACAGAGAAGACCGAGAATGGTCCTCGTTTTTCGGCACAGTCGTCCCCTGAATATCCATCTAACTCAACCAGCAGCGCCGTCACAGCGGCAGATGATAACTCATGGTCCACATCCACTGCTAGGGGCCGAAATTCACGCCGATGGGGGCGACTCCCGGGGATTTGAGACCATCCTAGGCGCAAATCATACCCTTTGCATTCCCAACCACTCCGCTGGCACCGCTGACAGCGAGGGTGTTCTTCGTCGCACTTTACTCGACGCTCTCGACAAGTCCAACATCCAGTGAAAGTCTTGGTGTGTGGTTTTGGGATTTTTGCTTTTTTTGAGGATATATCTGGCATTGTCAAGGATCTGGAGGAGGGTGAAAGCTCTGGTTCGGCCGGGTGATAAAAATTATTCCCCGTTGACCGCGCGTCGGCAACCACCGGCCCCTGCCAGACGCCCCCATGAGCACTGAAGTTGGCCGGCAACGATTTTGGAAATGTATCAAAGACAGCCCGGTGTTCTTATGCTAGTAAATGCACCTGCGTTTGGGCGTATTTATAGGGGAGGGAAGTACTACTTGCATTAAAGCTTAATATTTACTACACATATTCATCAGTGCGTCCTCGGAGTATGTAACTATTACCTTTTTACTAGTTTGAACTAATCGAAAAGCTTGATCCGAATGATTTTTTTTGTCCAAAATAACTATCGTAGTGCCCCCTGACTCCAATCTTTCCTGTTAGCTCTTCCTATTCGCCGCATGAATTTCCGCTATATCGCCCCTAGGATCCGAGTATAGAGCACGGCGGAATTCGTAGCCCAGCCTTTCGCAGAGCGCCATGACGGTTTCTTCCAAATGAAGAACAGCCATAAAGAGAATCGGAATGTATAAATTCACCCTCTCCTTCCCACTTCCCTCCTTCTTTCTTTTCTCTTCCTTCTTCATCCCACTCCGGGTCCAAATTGCACATCGTGGTGTCAACTACCTTCAATATGTTGACTCGTTGGTCTTTATGAGGCCTCAGAGTAGGTTGTGGCACGAAGCACGTCGGTGGAGGTAACTGGGCTGGGTCACTCTTACTCACCTCTTGCGGATACTGACTGTCCTTCCTGGGGTTATGGGGTTACCCACATGGACCTTCTGGGGCTCTGTCTTCATCTCCAACCCAATTTTGGAACCTTTCCAAGAGATAGCTCTCTGTCGCCAGAGGGGTTTTCCATGGAAGCTTCCATTTTTTGGTTCATGGTCCCACCTTCATTGCCGTCATATTCCACCTTGTTACCAAGTTCCACTGCCTTGGTGAGGAGGTCAAATGCATATCAAGAATGTATGGTTTCTTTTCTATTCCTTTTTTTTTTTGTTCTGTAGCTCCTGCGTAGTGTCATGTTCATCGAAGTCGGCTGTTGGCATGGAATTTTAATGCCAGACTATTTGGCAAGTTTATTCCTTTGGGGTTAGCCACAGACTGTAGGACGGCATAAATTCTGGAAATTGGAAGCCAGAAGAGATGTGACGGGGTTAGGCAAATACAGGAAGACCGTATACCCAGATGTTTACCTAGGTAGGGCAGCCGTCCAAGGGCTCCACCGTCACAGCTCGTTCGTGGCATTGAGACCACTCTTGAAGCATACCGAACATTATTTCATTCCGCAACTAAAATGTCAGTATGAATGTGAACTTCACTTATTAGTTTGGGTCAGGAAGTATAAGAAATTGTCTATTGGAAGTCACTAGCAGCATTAAGATACGTTACTGACAGACACTTGCAAGCGCCATAGCCAATGAATCGCAGGTATGCAAGAGACTTTTCTATGTACACAGAAGAAATACAAAGTACAAACCCAGTTGCACATCCCATTCCCAACCCACGCATAAATGCGAAACATGAAGCTTGAAGCGCCGGAGTGAAGAGACCCGCAGGGGGAATAAAAAAAAATAGTTGTAATACATCGCAGGTGGAAAGACAAAGCGAGGCGGCTAATCGTCAACCGCCAGTGTCGTTTTAAGGGTGGCGTGGAGGGTATGGAGTATCGGATAACCGAGTAGCGGAGGAGGATAATACTGGCCATGCTAGCAATTTAGAAGAAAGCCTTTCGTGTCACCTGTAGAGTAGCAGTTAGCAAAATGTCCACACAGCACATCACATCGGTATACATACAGCCCAGGCACCGGCAATGGAAGCCACAATGCCGCCAGAGATCATCATAGGCTTAAGTCCGCGTGTGCTCTTGAAAACCATGCCGCTCAATGCGCCGGCCACAATGCTGTTAGACGCGTCGTGCTTGCCTCGCACGTATCCGAGACCGGAGTTGAATCCGTTGTAAACCATAGCCACAACACCAGCCGAGTTTCCGAGGAATGGACCGCGACGGGTAACCGAGTTGAGTACACCGTTAAGACGGATTTTCGGTGCTGCCGTAGATGGTGTCTTTTTCAATCCTTCTGCAAGTCCCCATGCACCTCCAGTAGCGAGTGCAACGAGATAGGTAGTGCCGGCACCATAACAAAGGTCGTCTGACCATCCACGGGATGGCAACACTGATCGGGAGCCGGGGAGTTCGTCAAGGGCGGAGTCGTCGAGGGAGAGGTAGTCGAGGGCATCCTGGTTCAGACCAGCCAGGGGGTGGAGGCGAGAGGGATCGGGAATAGCGACCTCGGAGAGGAAGGATGTAGCATCTTGCGCGCTTGAAGGGTCGAAGGCATCAGGCCCGGTTTGCTTGCGGCCGCTGAGGGAGTCCCAGATGGACATTGTGAAGAGATGTATAGAAAGATAAAGGATAGAAGATAAAATTACAAGAACCTAAGAAAAACCTTGGAAGGCAGGGGCGGATGACTGGAAAAGAAGTGATGACCCTGTGTTCGCAGCTCCACTGGCATCGGAACAGCAAAAACTTCGGTCCCGTGACTTCCGGGGATCTAACGGAGAAGAGTTTGGCCGAGGGTTATGCGCTTTACCCGATACGGAATCCCACTTTTATCACTTGGCGGCCTGAGGCATCGCGGGGAGCATAAAAATTAATCGTCGGGGAGACCTTTCGCGGTAACCGTTATCCAAGATACCGAGGCTTGTAGAATTGGGGTTCTGACTGTTGAATTCACGTCAGGTGCAACGTGTTGCATCAACCTAAATGGAAGACCTTGTGCAGAAAGTGCAATTGTTCTCGGAGAAAACTCTCCGAGATATCGCCAAAGGCACATTGGTGAAATTCACACGGACATGCCAAGACAATGAGTAAGTGAAGTATATGCTCGAATTCATAAGAATCAATTTGTTCTAATATTGATTGTTACGCAAAAGAAAGGTGAACCGGGTATGGCAGTCGTTGGTACAGACCCTATCGACAGCATCTATCTCGCCACCTCATTTTGCAGAGGCATGCAATGCTGCCTCTGCTTTTATTGATGCTGCCACAAAGTCACAATGTGATGCAACTCAAGGATTGATTTTCTCACAAAAGGCATGGCTGTCAATATTCGATATTTGTTCGACTCGATATGAAGACGCCAAACCAAAGCCTGTTAAGCAACTTCTCGCTTCAATCACTACCATCTTAGCCAAAAGTCACCAAGGAACGACAAGAGCAGCCCTTCAAACTTCAATTATTGATGCCTTGATTCCTAGCATTGTGCTTGGGGAGCCTCAATCACGACTGAAGGGGTGTCTGGTATTTTTGGAGACATTCATTAGAAAGGATGCCCTGTTACCCAGCGAGTTTATCCCATTGGTTCGCCAGTGGCTTTTGAAGAACGCAGATAAATGGGCAACTCTCTTCGCCAACGATCATGAGACTCTTTCTCTGGGTGAATCAGGCCCTGCCTTTGACACTGCATCTGGCAGCCTTTCCGATGAACTAGCAGCAAGGATCTTTGTTCTGGGGCTTTTGATCCAAACCAACAACAGAACTATGGCTTTGCCAGCTGGAAATGTACTAGCAATTTTGATCCAGAAGATGAAGCCTGGCAACTCACCGGAAAAACTGTCGGCGATGTGGGTAATGCCAGTGAGACGCATGGTCTTACAAAACATGGAAACTTTGGAAGACCTGTCCAATAGGCTCCTGCAGCCTCTGTTTACTATCGATCCCAATGGCTTTAAGGTATTCCTTGACACTCTCCCTGTCAAGAGCCTTCTGAAAGGTGATATGACCGATGCCCCCGAGGAAGAGTATATGGTTCTTTTTGCTGCTCTGCAGATTGGCAAGAAAGTCAACTTGGTTCATGAAGATTGTGAGTAGTGTCGTCAACCTGGATTTGTTGGCAATTCTCTAATATGCGCAGATATTTTTAATGTCGGCAAAATGAAACTTGACGAAAATGAGGCATTGATCATGAAGAGCGACGTGATCGGCAACTTTCTCCTGCACCGCGAGGCCAATATCCGTATAGCGGCTCTCTCGCTGTTGATCACGGCATTTTCCACAGTAAAGCCATTTACGGTGCGGGCAACCAAGGCCATCCTTCGAGGACTACCCTCAATGCATGCTGAATCTGATGCACACACTCGAGGAGAAATTCTGAGTCTGACACGCAAGTTCTTTGTTCGTCTACGAGGTGGCATTGTCAAAGATGAAGATGTTGCCTTCAAGATCGAGAAAACAGCCAACAAGCTAGCTCAAGGCCAGGTCAGAAATGAAACTGAAACCACGGAGTTCCTAAAGGCGTACCTAAAGTTACTGGGTAATGATTTGCGTCTGGCAGCCTCGTATCCGCGCCACATCACTGCCCTCAAAGCTCTGAAGCTCCTATTAGACTCCGGTCTTGATCCACGGATAGAGGTCAAACTCCAAAAATCAGAGATGGAAAACATTTGGAAAGTCAACCTCGAAGTGTTTGATGCTCAACTACTCCGGTTGTTGATTGATCTCCTGCTTGATCCATTCGAGGAGGTTCGACAAACATCGCTTTCGATCTTGAGTTTGTGCCCTCGGGAGATCCTGCTCAACGGCTTGCAAAACGAGACAGACCAGCTGTCAGCTGTCGGCATGCGGTTGACCGATGCAATTACTCGAGCGGAAAGGCTGGCGAGTAACACGAGCAGAGCTGATCACGCTGATACTGTTGCTCGTCTATACCACATCATCTTTTGCGCATCCCTGCCAGCTAACTCCGGTCAACCTGTTTCTGGATGGTGGGCAACCAAGGCATCAGTGGTCGACACAATTTTGAAAAAGCTTGAGGAGCGTCTCCTAGATTCAAAGACCCTTTTCACCTCCACTATGCGCGAGGCCCCACTTCATGGATATACATCCGGTCTCAGGTATGTTGTCTTGGTCCGAACGAGAGGTAATATGCTAATTGCAATTCCAGGTATATTGTCCTTATGCCAAGCTTCCACTCCCTGATATCTGACGGGTCGGGGTCCGCTGCTTGGCGGTCTGTCCATGACCGCATTGTTGCAATTTGCGATAAGATCTGGATTGAGGCGAAGCCTTTGCTGTGTATCGACTCACCCGAAGGTCACTCGGACGAGCCCACTGAGGATCTGAACGTGGGACCCAAGGATGCCCTTTCTTATTCCTGGAGATCTCTTCGCGAAGCAACGTAAGTTCAACCCATTTCTTAATATGTATAATTGCTGACTTGGAGTAGTCTTTTGCTCCATGCTACTATGTTAAATAGTAGTTACGGACCAAGTGGCCACGACGGACTCAATCTGGCAGACTTTTCAAACATTGGAGGCGTGAGCTTCACACAGCTGGCTGAACTCCGGCATAGGGGTGCATTTTCCAATGTCTCACAGACATTTGCGACATGCTGTCAACGATGCAGCTCCTCGAAGGACCCGTCAATCCGAGAACTTCCTAGGAGCTGGTACCAGGAAGCTAAGTCGACTATCTTTGACTCGGCATCTCAACTCACCCGTCGGTCCGCTGGCTTGCCTGCATTGGTGACAGGAATTGTTGGTTCCGATCCCGGAACTCCATTCTTCAACGAAGCCATTAATGAACTCCACGAGATCTCATCCCTTTCCGTGCAGTACGACAAAGAGAGACAGTACTTGGAGCTGCCCCAGGTTCATGCAATGAATTGCCTGAAAGATATCTTCACGAACGCCAAGCTTGGTCCTCATACCGAGCCATTCATCATGAAAGCACTTACGCTCTCCGCCGAACGCCTAGGGTCTCCAATCTGGGCCCTTCGCAATTCAGGACTGATGCTCTTCCGCGCCCTACTCACAAAAATGTGCCGCGTCATTCCCGGTGCTGGACCTGGCTTTGGAGGAAACTCGGGCTCAGAGCCAGGATCTCGGATAACATTCCCCAAGTACTCTGGTCTGCTTGAACTGCTTTCTGGTCTTCTTACAACGACGCCGGGTGAAGCAGCGGAGGGCACTGAAATTATTACCGAGCGGGTATTCCCTGCGCTGGAACTCGTTGGTGACAAAGTCCCCAGCTTGGATGATCCTACTGACGAGATGCTACGCGGATTGGTTCTTGGGCACCTGAGCAGCCCTGTTCGGGGTGTTAGAGAGCATGCAGCCCGTGTATATGCGTCATTACTCACTCGACAGAAAATCCCGGAAGAGTTATGCACCCTCATTACGCTTCCCTCAAAGATCACCGAAAACTATGTTCATGGTGTTGCTTTGTGTGTACGATATGCCCTTCGTCGATACTCCTTCACAACCGATGATTTCTGGATATGTGAGTTCACTGAAAAATTTCCTAATAGTACTCGAACTAATCAATTGGCAGCGAACCTTGATATACTTTTCACAACGTTGCGCACTGTACTAGGATTCCTGTTCCGCGTTGGAAAATCGCCCACTGTGGCAAGTGAGCTCGTTGAAATTCTCAATGGCACAATGGAGCGGGCGATCCAAGCAAAGAGCGAAAGTAAGTGGGTATTCATCTAGGCAAAGAACGCATATGAGCTAACAGATCTATAGACCAAGTTATTTCTTTCATCAACGAGATGTTCGAAGCTCACGACCTCGATGGTATTCTAGGATTCGTCTTCGACGCTTCTCAGGCGGAGTGGAACCTTTCAAGCCCTAGCCGAGCATCTGCCCTCCTTAGAAGAGCGCTTGCCTGGTGCACAACATTGAAACTGCTTACTTCCCAGCAGTGGGAGCAGCTCCCAGCATTCTTCAGTGGAGTGTCGCAATACGATCCAGATGTCGCTCGTTGGATTTTGGAGCAGCTCCACGAGTCAGTTAGCGAAGACGAGAGGTACAAACAGCCATTGGCCGACTTGTATTCGTCTGTGATTTTGGGAGATAGTCGACCTGATGTGAAAACAATGGCCGTGTCCAATTTGGCTTCTATTATGGAGAACTTAATATCGTCACAGTTCGATTCTTTGTCAAGCATCGGTCTTCCATGGGATGCTATTGCAAATAGCTTCCGCCCCGGAACAGATATCACAATCTGGAACCGAGAGGCAACAGACGCTGAGCTCCGCCTTCGAGGCTGTCTATTGGCCATTCGGCGATCTGTTGTTCAGTCACCTTCGTCCTCTTTTGAAGCCGATATCCACAGCTGGACTATCAAGCTTCGCTCTGCCTTGAGTGAGGAGACTGTGAGTTTATCGAAGTACTTGTTCTATAATCCAGTCACCGGTCTAATCTTTTTCGTTTCCTAGGAATTCACAACCCGTTTCGCTGCAGCCGTATCTGTTGGCAGCTTTTCACGGGCTCTTAGATCCCCTGGTTCCCAATCACGTGTGGATGCGGTGCTACTAGACGTCTATCTAGTCTTGTATGACATGCTCAATGATGACGATGATGAAATACGTGATGTGGCTGCATCAGCTGCCTCTTGGGTTTTATCACGCTCATCCGTTTCACCTGACGCAGATGTGGCCCTGGCACCTCTCAATGCAAGCGCCCTGCTTGCCGACTTTGTTATCGATAACTATTCAGATTCCGCACTCCTTGGACAACGGGTTCTTCGATATTTGACTGGCCAGGAGCCAAGGATCAGTGGATCTGACGAACATAGTCACTTAGACGCTGTGTCAGACCAGATCGCAGAGCATCGCCAAGAGAGCACCGTCCTCTTCGTGGAGGAGAAACAGAATCTGTTTATCGATGATGTGCGTGAGGTTGAGGTTTGGTCGCGAGCTCTGTTGCGGTTGACTCCCTCGGCATACACTAAGCTCTCGTTGGATGAAATTTCTGCCTGGGCCTTTGACGGGTTAACATATCTCTGTTCTCTTGTTGGCTCTGAGAAGGAACCGGATGGACTTCTTGGTTGGGTGTCGAAGCCTGAGATCTTCACCCTTGGTCTCCGCGTTATTGTTATCTCGTCTGGTCTGAGCTCGCAAGTCTTCCCGGCACCAGAGAGTCTACGGGTGCAGCCAAACGACTTCCGGGGATCACTCGAATCTCTCTTAGACGCAGGCCAATCGTCGTCAGTTCATGGGGATTGGTTGTCGAGAATCCAGGCTGCATTGGAAATGTGAGCTGTAATCCAAGTCAAATTATACATAGAAGACCCCATTTACGAATTAAGCCTTTTTCCACCTTCTACGTCCACCTTAAGTATTGAGGAGACAACATATATAAAACTAAGGACATCTGGGAGACTTAGATAGAATACATAGATATATAGTCTATAGTCAGTATACATATCTCGTTTGCTCCTTCCATTTCTCACTTGAATCTCTTACCTCTTTCCTCTTTTGTCTCCCTCGTCAACCTTCCTTGATATCGATCTCCTATTTTAAGATCTTGAATCCTCACCTCCATCCTTCATTCTTTTCATTCTCTTTACCCTCCTGGGTCTCTTGAAATCTGCATTATTCCATCACTATTTCATGTGCACACGAATCTTCCACAGAATTTACTCCAGCTGCACACACTTTAACCCGTTACTTTGAGCCACTCTTCCACTACGTTGTTACACCATGAAGGACAATGTTCTAGTCGGGGTTCTTCTGGCGATAGCATTCGTCACCCCAGCCTTCGCGTGGTTGTTCTACATTTGGCATCGATCACATGTGGCCCGAATGCATCAAGAAGGCCAAATCTTCGGCAGAATAAACAGAGATCGCACCCAGGCCAACTATGAGCCCGCGAACAGAGCCCAAGGTCCAATATTTGAACCCTACTTTACCACTAGCGGGTGGGTTCGCCCAAAGACCAGAGGATTATCCCATGACCTGCGCCCGCCACAGTATGTTCACCCCCGGCAGCCCACGTTTACCAGATACCCGATTTCTGACCATCATTTCCAAGGACCCAACGGAGTGAACATCCATAGTCCTCCCCATACGGTGAACCAGCAGCTGAACCCGTTATCCAAACGGCAGCAAAGGAAACAACGGGCGCTGCAGAACAGACAAAAGTACCAACAGGAGAGAGAGCAGCAGCAAAGTCATAATGAGCAACGAGGCAAGGAGAACCGATACCAGCGCAAACAGAAAAACAAGAACCAAGGCCAGAACCACCCGAGATCCCCCACTGCCCAGTCTCCCAAGGCGCAGGGGGGCCAGGGCGAGCAGGACGACTCGTGGGGAAACACAAAAGGACAGAATGACCGAACTAGCAACCATGGTGGAAGTGGCTGGGAAAATGAGGAAGCCAAGCGGGACAACGAAGACAATACTAGCCAGAACAACAACAAAAACGACCAAGGAGAGAAGAGAAATAGTGGATCGGGTTCCCCACGACGAGTCGCACGAGAAAATCACAATAGTCCACCGGAAAGGGGCTCTCGATGGGACAACAACCGCCCTGCGTCTCCGGATCGAGTGTCAGGAAACGACGCGGATTTCCTTGGTGGTGCTTGGGGTCAGAGTGACCATGGAAACAGCCATTCACGGAGCAACCATTCCAACGAAGACCACAATCGCAACGATGCATGGGGAGATGATGATACGAAAAGTTACCACAAGGGAAGCAAACGTGACCACGATGCGTCTCCAGAGCGAATGTCAAGAGGCCGATCAAGTCCCAACCGTGACTGGGGATACAATATCCATGAGGAACGGGGCAACAGCCGCAACAGCCGCAACAGGTCCAGGTCTAACTCTTGGGGACATGCCGAAGAACGCCGTGGCGGTGGCAGTCCAACCTGGAGTCAAGATAGAAATGTGCACCGGGACAAAAAGAAGAAGAAGGAGCGCTGGGAGATTGAATTAGAGGCAAATGCGAATTTGAAGAGAGGTCGTAGTCGAAGCCGCTCGCCCGAACGCTCGGATGCAGAATGGGACAATCGCAGACAGGCGGACTGGAAAGAGACTCAGAAATGGTGAAGTTAAATTTTCCAGGTATTATGGATTGGCGTTCACGTTCATATGTGCAGTCGATGATTATTTTATGACCTGTGTTTTACCTCGCACAATCTATATCTTAGATATCTTAAGAATTCTATGCATTTTGACCCTTCAAGCGGATGAAGTAGAAATATAGCCATGCCTAGACCAACGAAATCGAATCAACATCATTGCTTAGTGCTTGAATGTGTTGGTCCCTCGCCCGAATTGATTGGGCAATCCTATATCGACTTCAACAACCAAGTAGATTTGGCAATACTGAGTTCGATAACTGCGCTAATTATCTTGAAACGGAACATTTTTCCATATATGGACTTATATACTCGGTCTTTGACTGCTGTGCAATACATGCATAGCTTGGAATTGTTCCATGGAGGTAAAATATGTATTGGCAAAATAATTCACAGTTCACACATAAACGAGTAGATATACTAAGAGCAAAGAGTTTTAGCCCAAGACCTGAACGCCACGAAATGCAGACGAACTTTGAACAGAACGGGTAATGCGTATAAGCAATGGAGTCGCGAGAGGGATGAAAACAGGTCTATCAACGCGAAAGAGATGACGAAGCGACTGCTCCAGGTATGTTGATAAACAAGAACGCAGAAATGTGCAGAATCCGAGACTGGTTCTCGAAAGAAAAGGGATGAGATGAACGCGAATGCAAAATGCAGCAGGGCCTTGGTCGAGATTATCTATAGTGAGTGGGCGGGGGAAGCGGAAAGTCGAGAACAGATAGAGAAATGCATGACGTGCAGGTGTGAGATCAGATCAGGCCTGAGCGATGGGCCATCCGTCGGCATATTTGAGAGGATTAAATCCAAGGAAGGCGTCCTGTGGATAACATGTGTTAGATATCAGATCTTCATGACGTTCGTGGGTATGGTGCAAGGGATAACGAAGGAGGATCGACAGGGGTGCATGAACAACGAAAATCGTGGTCCACAAGCCTGCCAATAATTCAGTGTGAGCTCACCTGGAATGCAATGCCGACGGTCGTGTTCACTGTAGATGAGGTCAGTATGGGAGTTCGAAAATGGTACTTGGGTTTAGGGGTTAAACGCACGGTAGTGGTAGTAGAGCACATCGGTATCGCCATCACGGATCACAGCTTGTCCGCCTGGGGCATAGGTCTCTCCGTTCGAGCCGTAGATAAGTTCGCCGCCGCCTTCGACGAGATCTTTACCGGACTTGTCTGTGAATGGCCCACGGGGACTTTGAGAGCGTCCAACGCGGATGGAATATCTGAAGTACGTTAGTATGAAACAACAAGCTAACTATTTGGTCATTAAGACTTACTCTTGACCAGCGGGCGGCAGATTGTCTTCCTTCAGATTACAGCAGAAACCATGGCTAAACCAGAGATAGTACCATCCATCATTGTGGGAGATGAAAGCACCCTCAATGGGATGGGGACCGCTCGGGTCACCGCAGATGTTGTTGGCCAAGCGATTCGGCATGCCGAGAGATTCCGGCTCCCAAGCCAGCTGACGCTCATCGGGTTCGGTAGTGCTGGCTGGAGAGAGGAGGTCCTTGCTCAGCGGAATTTGGAAAATTCCATTCCAGTAGCTTCCATAAGTCAAATAAGCCTTTCCATCGGGAGTGACCAATGTGCTCGGGTCAATTGCATTCGACTTGGTGTAGGGATAAATGTCCGACCCATTTCCTGTGCCCGTCTCAATAACAGCGCCGTGATCAACCCAATTGCCCGGACCCGGAGAGTTCGAAGTGGCCACGCCAATAGCACTGTCGCGACAACCAGCCTTACTAACACTGTAATAGCAATAGTATGTGCCGTCGACGACGATAACGTCCGGTGCCCATGGTACGGCACGGTCACCCTTCGGGATCACACTCTTGGCATCCAGTACACTGCCGGCACGTTTCCACGGGCCGGCCATACTCGGCGCAGTGTCAATGAAGATGTGTTCGCCGACATGATAAAGATAATATTCATCACCCACACGGAGAATAGTAGGATCATGTGTATGGTGCTGTGTCTGACGGGGAGGAGGAAAGTGGCTTACAGCCTGATCATTTCCAAGATCTTGTAATTTCTGACCATTTTGAAAGTTCTGATCTCTTTTGATACTTAGACCCAGAGCGACGGAGAAGAAACATAGTAAGGCGAGGAAGGAAAGCATCTTAACCCAGCGTCGAGGGAATTTCCAAAGAGATCGATCTCGAAATTCATCGCGATGGCCAGGCGGCGACATCGACCGTGATAAATGACCGGCCCTGACGATCATCTTGATTGATGCAGGCACACATCGTTTTCGGTTGACGCACGGCGTTGCCGCCCTGGTTAGGCGGAGTTGGTGATGGACACAGAGGGGGTTCAAGGAACTGCGACACGGTCCACTTGGTTACTCAATAGAGGGCCCGCAATCGGACATGCCTGCAGGGTTTTCGGAATGCCTAGAGATCAAGTTGTTGTCTGTAGAAGAGATAGAACATGGTTGGGCCTTGGCATGATGGAAGCGGAAGGATTGGAAGGATTCGTGGCACAAAAGATGGATCAACTCTTAAACACAACTACATATCAGCCACTAGTTAGTTAATTATTGGGCTCCTAAACTTTGGGTACGTAAGTCAGTGAACTTAACAAACAAGGGATATATCTGTAGTTTTGGAAATCGGTTGCAGTGACGATCGTACTTTTGAAGTCACAGGAAATGATGGGAATGGATGATTTGAATTTCAAACATATCACTTCTACAGGGTTGATGAGAACAGATATTAATCACATCTAAGGAGCTAGCCCTTTTCTCGTCTTTTTTGACCTTTTCCAATAATATAATATAATCCCTGTAGGGTTGCAGGTACGAAGGCACAGGTAAGACAAAATCCTGTCCCTTCAGGGCTACTACATATGTACTTTGTATACAGAATGGCCTAGACTTAGATAATTGGATATACCAGATTTACATTTCCAGCGAGTTCCAGAGTAATGACAAGTTATAAAAAAAGTAAAAAAGTAAAAATAAAAAATAAAAAAGATATCCGCCTAACGCCAGCGCGCCGAGCTCCATCAGGCTGGAGATGAAGTAATGGTCTTCTATCGAGCCACGATCTTGTCCACCTCATCCTTGGCTTCGGTCCATGTCTCTAGGTTCTTGCGAGCCCAGTCCAAGTGGCAACGAGCATATGCGACCTAGAAACTCATGTTTAGTCTTGGTCTTAAATCATGTACAGGGCAATCCATACCATGTATCGTCGCAGGTCGGCTTCTTTGTCCTTCTGGAAGCGCTTGAGATCATTCAGCACACCCGCACTCGCATCCTTGACGTCCTTTTCGGACACTTCCAACGCTTGCTCCAACTAAAATTAGGGATTAGTTTAATGAACCATCTCGTCAAACTCTACTCCATTGTTCACATACCTGAATCAAACTTTCTTTCGTCTTGCCGATCTGGTCCCGACGGGTTCGTTCGGGATCTACATCCGCAAACCCGTGGATAGCATGACTGATGCGACCGAAGATTTTGTTCGCGACAAAGGTCCCGCTGGATGTCTTTCGATGAGCGGGGGAGCCTGGTACTGACGGGTCAGACCTCTTGAGACCTCCGATCTGTGATCCAGGCAGAGGGCTCATGGAATCGTCGTGAGTAGATGGGAATCCCGAGTCAGCTGACATGACGGGACTGTTGCCCCCTTCGCTGCTGATGGCGGATGAGGTTGACTGAGAACGAGGCTTCGTCCCTCCAGAATGAGGGCCAGTGCGGTTGAGATACTGCTCGATGCGCTTGGCTTCGAGTTCACTGCGCTCAAGGGAGTCGAGTAGGGTCTTTTTCTTCGACAACTCATCGCGAGTCATTTCTTGTTGTACCCGCTTGAGCACTCTGTATCGTAGAACTCCGCGAACCACACTAGCAAACTGAGCACTCTCCCGCATAGGTTCCGCAAAACTTGCACTCAAAGCCGAGGATAGTTCTTCGGTTTCAATATAAGAAGTATCCGCAGCCTGCCCGATCCGTTCAATGGCGGCAGCCACTGTTGGTGACTGCTCTGAAAGAGAGAATCCGTTGTAACGCGCTCCCAGTTCCATTAAGTCGGCTGAGAGCCCGGACAAATGTGAGAGAGATCGTCGATTAACTTTCTCAATGTTTCCCTGCAACAGTAGTTCTAGCTCGCGCGTAGACGCTTCAAAATTAATAAAGTAAGGGTCCAGTTCTTGCTCGCTAAGCTTGCGTGACTCAGGAGGGAATCGCCCGAGAATCTCAGGTCCTAGGAACGAGGGCGGCTCTGGTTCAGTCGGCGACGTGGGCAATACCGCGGTTGCGCCAGCCGTGGCAGTCCCTCCGCTAGGCTTGAGCTTTGCGGATGTAGACGGAATCGGGAGCCAGCCATGGGCTGGTGTGGGGTTTGCGGGGTCAAGAGGTGGCGCTTTGAGGTTATTCCTTGGAACCGATGCTGCAGGATGGGAGCTCAAGACCTCGCTCTAAACAAACGTTAGTTAATAACCCCGTATCCAGAAACTTCCAGTTCAAACGCACCCAGCTAACGTTGGGATCAAGGAATCTCCACCACACTCCATCCTCACGGATCTCCTTCATACGCCTGCAGCGGTTGAGGAACACACTGAGCATGCGCTTTCGGAGATCGATAATGGCCATATCGTCTTTGGCCCTGGTGGGTTTGGCTGCATAATCCGCCATGCTATGCTTCTCGGGAATCGGCGGAACGACCAAGGTGGGATGCAAATTGACAAGGGTCTGTCGCAATGATGCAAACTCGGAATATCGACGGCGCACTTCCAGGTCCTATCAACATTCAGCATTGTACAGTCCCCCGTCAGGCACCATTCTCATACCGCGGTCCGAATTGTGTATACAATAAAGCCCCCGCCGCCCTCATGGTTCTTCCCAGCATCTGTGATCAAGATTGGCATCTCGGGGTTTTCATAAAGAAGCTGCTCAATCCGGCTATCATAGACGCTCTTCCGAGGGTATTGTTCACTGGCGGCACCATACTCGGCCTCATCTTCGGGATCGCTGAGGTCGTCGGTATGCGTGATGTAATCGGGAGGCTCGCTACTGGAGTCGCGGCTAGATGGGGGGTTGAATCATGTTGGTAAAGAGCTAGCTACTGTGAGATACTGTTCCAAAGGCAGAAGCGTTAGGGTAGAACATCAAGCGGAGATCTTACGGGGAGAGAGTGCGGCTGAATGCAGGGAGTCAGATAGGCCAGACTGATGTTGGTCAAAGGCCCCGTAGGGATTGTTGTCTTCGTCGTTCCACATTATGAAGGTATGAAGGCTTGATAAGGCCGACTAATACCGGAAACTGAGTTGGAGAAGCTGTTCCTGGGGATCTGCGGGGGAAGTCAAGGTGTGGCTGGTGCAAGGCGGTGTTGGCGATTACGTCATGAAAGAGGCTTGGGCTTCGATATTCACCTGAGCATGGATAGAATGAATATGGGCAAGATGCTGTAAGAAAGAACACATAAATGCTTTTTTGTCTTAGAATATTTGCAACGGTTGAGATGGTTTCAGCCTGAACTCCGGGTTTCCTGTGATCGCAGCGTCACTAAACGATGATCCAAGAGCGGCCGATGTATATATCAATGTAGCCCTAGTCCACTACCTTAAGATATTTTGCTTATATGGATCAAGTCATGCTCAATATATCCACAAAACAAAGAGTGTACTCTACATAACATGGAGTTAAAAATAATCATCGTTTGAGAGTAATCAGTTAATAAACAGGTGATGTATGGCAAAAGGCTCAAAGCAAAGAGCATTGAATGCAAACATTTGCAAGATCCTAGAACTCATAACCAATTCCCACATCTCAAAGCTTCAGATATTGTTCCACCGTGTCCCAGACAAGCATCAAAGTCCATGAAGCTTTCTCCTAACGTGAAATAACCGTCATATCGCATACCTCAGTGCTTTTGCGCCCTGTGTCTCACTTCCGATCGGCACTCCGAGGGCCTCGAGCGTCGCGTGCGTTTTGTCTCCCCAGCTCTGCATTACGCATAGCTGAAAATGCTGGGTCCATTCCATTAAAGGAGCTCTGAGCACGTCGTAGAGTTGGATTGGGCGGCAGGGATGGAGACCGGGGAGATTGCGGAACAGAGAGCGAGAAAATCCGGCGAATGGGCTCGTCACCGAAATAATTAGGAGATCTATCTCTCGCACTCTGAGGGCCACTGAGGGAAAATGCACGGTTTGCGCGATTAGGGCGCAGCTCCTGAGGGCTGGGCAGATTGACGTTGGTTCGGTTCTGGCGGCGTTGACGTAGGGTGAAAGGGAACTCGTTGTTAACCGAGCCACTGGCGGAAGTGAGAGCGACAGATTCAAGCTCTTCTGTCCGGAGGTGGCGTTCAACTGGTTGGTCCGAAGTGTCACTGCCAGGCCCCGGCACAAAGCTGGGAGCAGTGGTACGGGCGAGACCGGTTCCAGGATGAGTTGAAGAGGATGAGTTGCGGCGAGAGGGTCGAGCTGAAAGATGGGTAGAGTGTAGACTGGGACCGAGATCAAGAACACTGATCTCACTTTCGCTCAAGACTGCAGCACGGGGTCGCGTCGAGGATCGTGTCGAGTTTCGGACCGTGGGACCCGGATCTCCATCGGAACTCAAGTCTTCAGTTGAGACGTGGGTGGCACGTTGAGGAATCATCCCGTTTTCTAGACTAGGCTTGGGTTTCGTGGATTCCACTAACCTGAGACGCAAGGTCTCGAGCCTCAGAAGCTCAAGTTGGTCGCTGGTGTTTCGGAAAGCCAAGTGTCTATCAGCGTGCTCGGAGTTGATCTTTTCAATCATCGACCTGGCACCGGCTGGGCTGACATTGATAAAATCAGGACACAGGTTAGATATCTGGGGATTGAGTTGGCGTGGATCATGACTGTAGAGTCCTCGACGTTTCGGAGAAGGCATGGTGCGTTTCATTCTGAAATGAGTGCGTGTATGTATGGATCTTTGGGGGAGTGAATGCAGAGGAGAGTGGTAATTAAAGACAGTAGGCCCGGAAGTGATTAATACCACGCACCCAGCCCTAATATGGAAGGAACTCTGCAGGTTGGCACTTTCCTCACCCGGGCCCCGTGTCATAGAACATCCTATTGTCTACTATATCTTATATGCCTTCATATAAACATCATAAACATCATCTGTTTATGTTATACTCCCTTTCATTTGGATGTACAAGCCCTCCTGTACACCTATAGTATTTCACTCCAGGGTTGGACACCTTGTGTTGATTGGAAATTGCCAGTATACATAAGGTGCACCTCGCTATAGGACTAACAGAGCCACTTTTCAGAGACTTGTTCATACAGGATGTTACACTGGAAGATTACAGCAAGAGCGGGATAAGTTATAGGTGAGTCTTCATATCGCCTAATACCTGAAACAATGTAACATGTTTGTGAAGCAAGTCGTAACAACCTTGACACAACTATGGCTACAGTTATTGCTCCCGAAGTAGTCTCTAGTAGTAAACTGGACGAATATAAATGGGCAAGAATGGGAGAATAAAGAAAAGAAATCCACATAGCTAGCTACATAGAACGAGGTTCCCTTGTATAAACACAAATTCCTAGCAGCCGCTGCCGATGAAGACTGAGTGTAGAGTCAGAGTCCAGCCATAGAAGAGACGAGATCATGAGGCCTGTTTGTTATAAGGCCTTGACTTGGTGAGGAAGCTGATAGTTAGGCGGCGAAGAAGTGATAAGAGGACAGACAGTCTTACTTTTTCAAAGAGTTGACTAGATCTTCACATTGACCTAAGAGTTTTTTAGCCTTGCTCTTACTTGCAATGAGAATGTGAATTGAAAATTGAAACAAGAAAACAGATTTTTTATGTTGTAGGGGCCACCTGCCCATCCTCCCTCTATGTAGAAAAACACCCCCCCCATTCCCCCCATCCACCTCCCTCTCCCTTTTTTTTTTTTTTTTTTTTTTGTTTTTTTCTTTATTCATAATATTCATGGGTCCGAGGACATTGTGATGTCCTCGGACCCCACACGCAGCTCCACGACTGGGAGATCATCGGAGGAATCCTCCCCCTCACCCCCAGAAGTGAGACCAAACTGAATCTGAGGGTCGATGTCCATGCCATCACTCCATGGACATCGACCCTCAAAGATGCCATCTTCCGTGGCAGCGTTACCACTGGTAATCTGTGAGATGTCGTGAGCGGCGTCGAACGACCAAGAGGGTTCGGTGAGCTTGTTGAGGGAGTCGACCTGCGATCCCCCATTCTCGTGCTCGAAGTCGATTTTCTTACCTTCGCTGCCACCGTCTTCTGAGCCCGACGTACTCTCCTCGGCAGAAGAGTACAGGTCATTGCCGAGGGAGTCTTTCCCCCGGCTCACTCGGGGTGCCACCCCTGCTCCTGCCAAGGCGGACGACCCCTTGCCGGGTGCGCCGCCAAGGACACGACCGCCGTCCCTCGAAGGTGATTGGGAACCACCGGGGCTGCGGGAGCCGGAGGAACTGCTGGATGCACTCGCATCGCTCTTCCGGTAGCCCTCAACCAGCTCCCGCAGCTCCTGGTTGCCCAATGCACGATCGGAGCGACGGCGGTAGAACAGGAGGTAGGCACCCGGTGTGATGATCGACTGCATGTCTGTGACAGTCTTCGCAGAGGTATCTGTAATTCATAATTCACGTTAGTAAGATATCTTCCAATTAACATATCAGGGGGTCTCGAACCATTGCAATAGACCCAGGCACCAGACACAAAGTCCTTGATGTAGGCAGTGTAGTGGCCACCACCCATTCCACCCATGTGGTTGTCGACAGCAATCAAATCATAGACCGCACTCTTTCCATCCGTGGGGCCTTCTACTCGGCTGCTCAAATCCAGTCCCTCGAAGGGGAAGTCGATGAGAGTGCTGATCTTGTGTCCGTTCCTGCCGCGGAATTGGCTAAACCGCTTGAGCTGAATGACCATAATATCTGGGGTTCTCCACAGCTCGAACTTCTTGGTGGCCGAAACGTGAGTCTTGCACTGAGGACAAAACCAGCTGTCTGCCCGAGAAAGAATCTCCTCCTTGCTGAACTCGTCCAGGCATTGATCGAGAGGAACAGTTGATGGCTTAGGCTTTTTCTGGCTGACCACCATGGTGTGATCAAAGACATTCTTGATGTTCATGAAGGTAGGGCGACCTCGAAGCTCCTCGGAGTCGCGTGGCTTGCCGCCGAAAAGGGAATCAATGGCATTGGAAGTCCAGTCAATCAGGATGGCATCACCTTGGCGAACGAGCGCTGGTGCTGAGTTTGGTGTCAGGTCTGGTTCATCTGTATCGAGGTCATCATCGAGATTGTCATCTGCGGAGTTTTTGGATGAAGTATCGGATCCCTGGCAAAGATTAGCGGGCTGCATCTGAACAGACAAGACGGAATAAACAAACCTTAGTAGAATTGGGAGGAGACAGGATGCGAGAGGAAATGGAGGGATAAGTTTTGAGTGTAGAAATATTGCGTCCATCAGGAAGAGTGGTAGGTGTGCTCATGACCGTTGCATCGAAGAGTGACAACAAACTGGCAGGAAACTTGCCAGCAAGAGGATGCTGAGGGGACTTGACAGATTCAGATTCAGAGTCAGCGTCAGAGTCAGAATCCGACTCATCAGTGCCTTCGGCAGGCGTGGGCCCTTGCTCAGGTTGCATAGAAATGTCAACGATGCTGTCTTCACCGTCAACAGAAGATGTTTTGATTTGGGAATCTGCCGATCGTGCATCATCCTCATTGGTGACCACGGTGTCAGAGTCATCAGTTGCATTGTCGTCGTGGTTGTTTTCTTCGGTAGCAAAAATGTCTTGTGTAGTCATATTATTAGCCTGAGTCAGAAGCTTGCGGTAAATCGTCTCAAGATCCCGAGATTCTTCACTAGAAAGGCGTATGAAGGATGGCATCCCGAAAAGTTCAAGAGTGCTCTCTTTGTTCTTCCGTGGGACAGGTTTGCGGTGGAAAACGGGTACAAGGACTGCATCATCATTGGTAGAGTCAGAAGAATTAGTAGATGCTGGAAGAGGACCAAGATCGTAGAACACAATGGTGTCTTCTTGGGTAATGCGTAGACTGCCGAAAGTATCGTCATTGTCGCAAAATGTTTGCCAGAAGGCATTGTGCAATGTCTCTGCCGCAAAGATGCGTTCCCCGTCAATTCCCATCTTTCCGGCGATAAAGTCCTTCCAAGTCTTCAAAGTATCGTGTTCATCGAGCCGGACTTTCAAAGACACGGGTGGGCCGTCGAGAGGGCAAAAGATGATTGTTCGATTGATGAGCGTCGGACCCGTTGGGATGGGCACAGTGACCATTGTGAAAGGGTCCATGATGATGCTGGTCTTTTCACAATTGTGGCAAATCAGTGTTGACTTGTACATTCCGGCAAAAAGATCGGTGATAATGGAGGCGTTGCGGGCCTCATAGAGGTCCCAGCACTTCTTGCCGAAATCCTCAAGAGCCTTACGATCGTGGATCATCTCATCAGTGGAATCAGGGATGACAGTGGATGGCTTGCTGCCAACGATGCGGCTTAGATCTTCCGACAGTGCATCGAGGAGAAACATCACAAATTCCTGACTATCATGTTGTTCGTAGCCAGCAAAGTCTTCACGTTGCCGGCCAGCGGCAGAACGGAACCTATAGGGATTAACAGATCTTGGCTGAGGGTCCGATTTGTAGAGCTCCTGCAGCAAGTTGGCCCATTGCTTGGCAATAGTGCCGCCGCATCCAAGAACGTTGCCAGGGTTCAGCTCTGGTTTGTACATTCCACCTGCAGATTAAGATTAGCATCGAAAGGCCTCATCTGTAGTATTCAACAGTAAGATGAGTATACTCACTGAGGAAGTAATAAGACAACTCCTCAATACTTCGCACACATTGCAACGCGGAGTTCATGTAACAAGTGTTGCCAAGGTTTTGTAATCCTACGATAATCTGTCGACCCTTCCGACCTCGAGATATGAGCCCCCTAATTGGATCGGGTCCCGGGGTAGGGGTGGTCCTGCCGCTGGGTATGCTCTTCGGTGCGTCTTTAGCGGTAGATGCTTTGACAACAGCATTGTTCTTCGGTTGATCCACAGGGATACCCAGACTCTTGAGGGTTTTGATAGAGGCTTCGGACACCCATTCTCCACCTTTGGAGCTGCCGACCTGCTCTTCAAGAACAACACAATTCGTCATGCTGAGACCAGCCATATCCAAGGTCATACGACCGTTGTAGTTTGCATTCTGGGTTTGATCCTTGACATTCTCAAGCAACACCCGGTGGCTTCCCTCTGGAAGTTCAAGGAAAGTATTCAAATCGAACAGGAGCTTGTCGTTGGGGTTCGAGATCAGAGCCAAGGGAGGAGCTGGCGACTGGCTGCGGGAGGCAGCTGGGGTTGCTGAAGCTGATGCAGTGGTGCTACTAGGCAGCTGGAGAATTTTCCAAACTCGAACCTTGGTCAACATGTCGATACCAGTCTGCTCTTTGGCATCCTTCAACCATTTTTGGTAATTCGTCTGGCGACTGGCCAGGATCTTGACAGACGGTTTGATGGTTTGTCTCAAGATGGTCGGGGTGGTGCCCGCGGCGGGGTTGGCCAATTTGAAGATGGTGAAAATCGGGGGATAAGTCTCATATTCGATCTTTTCGGTATCACCAGGTTGGCTGGTGTTGTGAGCGTAGCGGATAATCACAGGTGACTGGTCGGCGAGGCCATACCACTTCTGGATCAGGTCCCAGCCATGTTGCGGAATTATGGCGAAATCTAGAGAGTCGTGCAAGCCAGGACGCATGGGGACAAACGTTTCACCGGTTTCGTCTTTGAAGCTGGGCGTGGCCGGGTCGGTGTCAAGCATTATGTTCAAATTATTAACGGGACCAACATCACCCTCCAATGGTCCTTTGTCAGTGTGATCTGCATGGGCTGTAGTGCGTGCAAGCACCTTCTTCAGCCAAGCCATTGAAACAACAAAGCCCTTTTGTCCATCTTTCAACGGCGCTGCCATCAGCGCATTCACCTCAGTCACCTGCTCATCGATCGTAGGAATTTCATCTGATTTGGGCGGCGATGCTGGTCTGGACTGGTCGCCAGCCGAGGATGCCGGCCCGGTCTTGTCATTGCTCGAAGTGGTGGGATCCGTGGATTCATCGTGTGTCCCGTCGCATGTGCGGGGGATGATGTATGTGCGCGCGTTATTGCAGACAGTGCTCACGCCTCCTTCGGGGTCGGAGTCGGTAATCTCAGATGCCGGGCGCTTTTCGCCGGGAGAAGGGGATCGTCCATGGGTTGGAGGTGTACCCTCTCGAGTATCGGAGGGCATATCGGAATGGTCACTGGAGAGGGAGAGTCCGGCAGTCGCGGTCGCGGGGGTGAGCGAGCGGCCAGGCGGGCTTCCGGACTGAAACTGCAGATGCGCAGGCACGTAGCGAGGCGGGGACAACGACGCACTCTGACCGCGGGAAGAAGAGGAGGAAGTGTGGCGAGAGTGTGGAGGTTCGGAGCGGCCGTGACGTCGAGCCCGAGGGCCTGGACTGGTGCGAGGCTCTGGGGAAACTTTTCGTCTCTTTGGTGAAGACGTCGTGGCGATGAGCTGCGCACCTCGTGTCGCAGCTCGGGGCAACAAGGGAAAAATAGAAGACGGGATCAAAGCAACACCCTTACCTCCGTTTAGTTGGAAGTACAAGGGGATTTGGGATTGTGAATGAATTTGGCAGAAAAGAAGGTAATTTTTTTTTTCCGGAGCGGAAACGAACCCCAGGGCTATCCACAGACGACCAGCGTCTTGTAGATGAAAAGTTTAAAAGTTTAAAAGGATTGATGAACAGAAAAAAAAAAAAAAAAAAAAAACAAGAGTAAGTAAGTGTAAGAAGAGTACAAGTAAAAGATATGAAACGAAGATATGGAGAATTTATTGGGAAGAAGAGAAGAAAACATGAAAAAGTTGGAGCTGTGAAGGTCTTATACTTGAAGGTATATAGTTACTATTTAGAGTAATTCACACAATAGGAGAGACTTGTGAATGGGATTGATTGTCAATAGTTCTATTCATTTCTGTTTACGCTCCTGTTATTCTCCTATTATTCTCCTATTATGGTCCTATTGTGATCCTATTGTTAACATTCGGTCAGTCACACGCGTCAAACAGAGACTATCCAAGCAATCATAGATTTGTTAGCACATCCGTTTGTTAGCATGTCCTTCAGAAATAGAATTAAAACTAAACCTTGGAAGTCATTGCGCATTATGTCAACTTCACTTAGCTGCTGTTGATTGCTAGCTATGGTGAGATAAGTACAATAAAAATAAAAAATAAAAAAACGAAAAAAAAAAACGAGAAAGAGAAAAAAACGGAGAAAAAAAAAGGAAAAAAGAAAATTATCTTCAACGTTCCTCCATGTGAAGTTTGTACATGGTGTTGTTCTCCGCCCCTGTGAGGAGGTACTCTACATCAGCCCGATAGGAGACAGGGTTAGGCTGGGTGCGACCCCATTCAACGACAGCGTTGAGGTCACCTTTGAATTGCTTGGTGAGGTGGAGGCAGCGCTCACAGAGCATCAGTCCACACCCACGGGATTCTTGATCACAGTCCACCACCTCTGCGTAGACATCGATTGGTTGAATCGTCTGGCAAGATCCAAATGCGGGCTCTCGACACAGACTGCACCATTCATAAATGGGGCTTGGGAAGAAAGGGCCAGCCTTTCCAGTGTCAGGGTCAATCAGAGCTTCAGTGGCTTGGTGGAGAAGTGCGGAAGCATCAGTCTGTACTTCGCTTTTCGAGGACAAAGACGAGGGTGGGAGATTGAGGGTATTGTGGGAGCATTGTATAATTTTGCATCGATCCCAAACACAGGAGACGCACATCCGGCTCTGTTCCTTTCCTTCTCCGTTATGACCGTCCTGGAGTTCAACGATCGTGCCGTCGTCAAAGACCCAGACCTCTGGGTTGCGAGGACCGAGTCCATTGATGCCATACGCAAAGTTGTTGCACCAGTGGCAAATGGGAGATCCATCCTTCTCATTTGCAAGAAATACTACTGGATGAGCAAGTTCAGTCCAGATTCGATGGGTGTCCACGGACTGCGAGGCAATGGTATTTGTGACAGTGGCGTGAGTGGGGGACTCAGCGGAGTCGGAAATATAAATCGGGGAGTTCTGTCTTTTCGGTGGGTGTGGGGTGTGTGGGGTGTCGTCGTCTGAATCAGAGATTACAATCACCTCATGTGGCTTCGATCCCTCAACAACGGAGGGCTGTGTGTTGGTGAATGGAGGGGAGGGAAGCTCCAAAGAATCATTCTTTGCGGGATTGGTTTCTGGAGTCTGGGTCTTTGGTTGGATGACCGAGGAATTGGGTTGACTCGGGGTAGGTACCTCGGAGACCTCGATCTCTTGTGTGTCATGTGGTGAGTTGGGACGTGCTGGAGAGTCGATCTTTGGGGAATTGATTTGCGCACTCGGCTTGGATATCTCAAGAACGTCGGGCTCTGGAGTGGACTGGGGTGAGTTTGATGTTGCCGGAGAATCAATCTTTGGAGAACTGCTCTGCTCGCTTGGTTCGCTTGTGGAAAAGAGTGCAAAGGGTGGGTATCTGGCTGGTCCAGCAACGCATTCGAACCCATGGTTTAGGCATTGGAGGCAAGGTTGGGAATGGTCGTAATCAGCGGAGCGATATGAACAAAGCTCTTTCCTCCGACCTTTGCAACTCTCGCATGGTCGCTTCCATTTGGGCGGTGGGCTCACGACGCAAAAGACATCATCGACTTCACATGTTACGCAAGGATAAGCGAACGGATCGGGATCAGATGCAAGCGAGCATTCCAAGCCCAGTTCTTTGCAGGCATCGCACGCTCTCAAGGGAAGTTCGTTATCAGCAGGCAGGACATCCTCAGTCGGCTTCGATGCCTCCGCCTCCGCCTCGACCTTGGTCGTGTCTTTATTTTGTGGCAGTTCTGAAAACGATTCCTTGTTGTGGCTTCTAAGGCTGTATCGTGAATTTGATGTTTCTGTCTCCGGCTTGACGGCCCAGTATCTGTCCCAACTGTCGGGCTCACTGTGGTAGGAGGCATAATCTTCATTGTCCGTGTCTGGGCTCAGCCTAGAACGGAACATAGAAGGTGGAGACTCACTTCTGGCCCTTTTGTCGGACCGAGGCTCTCGATTGTCCTCATAGAAAAGAGATAGCTTGCGCTTGGTCCGTGATTGCTCGTTGAGAGATGCGAAGTTATCTTCGTCGGTGTCTTGCCAGGACGCACTGAAATCGGCCCGTGTGGCGGCACGTTCTCGCATGTGATATGGGCCATCGAGATGTGGAAGCATGTAGAAGTTGCTCACGTTTTGTTGAAAGAGCTGATGAGCCTGCGTGAGTCTTTGAGGAGAATATGCCATGGTGAATGACCGAATCGCTGCAGGCTGCAAGCTGCGAAGAAGCTGCGGTCATGTTGGTATCGAAATTGCAACAGTCTCAAGGAGTTGATACTTACGTCCTCTGGTCAGATTAAATCAACGGAGGATTGTGTGGCATTAAAAGCCACGTATTTGTTCTCCGGGGGAAGAAAAACGACTGTCACTTATGTACTGGGGTTGGCTCGCACGTATCAATATGCGATTCTTGGGGACGCGCTCAGAAAAAGTATGAAGATGGTTGAATGTTGAAGTGGTGATGGTACAAGGAATGCCGATATCAAAGCATTGAATGGCTGGGACTGTACACCAGGAAGCAAATCAGAAGTGAAGATGAGATGATTCGAAATTAAATAGTGAACGGCGGTCCATAGATATGAAGATGAAAGAAATGTATGTCAATTAGGGTTATAGATAATAGTATCGGAGGCTCAATAGCAGGAACAATGGAATTCAATAGAATTGTATTCGTATTCATGTCTCAAAGGGGACCTACAGCAACAGGAGACAATAGCTTTGGACCACACAATAATGATACTACACTCAATAGCACCTTCCATCCATTCATATCAATACTCAGACCGCGAATTCTGCACAAACTCAAGCTGGATCCATCACATCAATTGATCCAAGACAAGGTTCAATGTGACAATTCGATTCAAATCTTTTCTTGTCACGCCCATAGAGGGAGTGGGGGAGACGACACCGTTCGTGGACGTAGCGGCACGGACTTTAGTCAAAAAGGTATTCCGTGCAGGATCTGTGAAGACATAAATCGGAGCGGTAACACTTGTAGACGGCGCGGCAGTAGACAGAGGAATTACGGAAGACTCGCTGGGAAGGGTCATTACCGAGGCACGTCGGTGTAAGGCATTCCCGGCGTCAAGTTTTGCCAGTCTTTCCTTTTCGATGCGGTTCTGGGCTGCCAGATAGGAGCCACCGAACCAACCGGTAACACATATAACAATGACGAAGCTGGATACAACTAGAAGCCATCTGATTCCTTCCGGGAGTCGCGTCCAATGAACCCAACTTCCCCAGCAGTGTTTGTAACCGCTTCGAGGCTGTTTAATCACAGCAACTGACTGGGTCCTAGGTGTGGAGGGGAGGTCAGAGCTGGATTTCGAGGAGGTGGATGTCGAGGTGTATTCGGCGTCCATATTTAGCTTTTCCGGATGACCTAAAGCGATTTGGTTTGTGTGTCAATGAGGTCTCGATCTGCAAGAGGATAGGTTATATACTAACCGTCTGACAGGTCATCCATTTCATAAGACCACACTCGGTTAGATCGCCTATCGGATTGAGCGTCCGTCATAGTAACTGTAGCTATCTTAGCTTGGAGGGAGTGAGTGGATTGAATTTCTTTTGTAATGGGATATAACTAGAGGGTGACAAGGGGTTGGAAACAGTGCAACAGAAGGTTGTAGGTGGGATATATGCATTGTTAGGCCAGTCAACATGTTACTAGTCCTCTATAGTACAATGTAGTCAATAGGCTCCGAATGGCTTCTTCGGTCACGGATCATCAAAAATGGTGTCTAGAAGCTACCATGGGTTTTGGTTAGCATGGTGGAAGCAAACACAGTATGTCGTAAATCACAACTAGGAAAAAAAGTCAGAAGTCTAGGGCCGACTATCAATTTGAAACCGGGACAATTGCGAGCTGAACCTTGGAAACAACCAACTTTATTGCCCTCAAGGTTTCCCAAGGTCCAAAGTTGATGCCAAAGTTGAATCCTCAGGCCTAAAGGTCAGTATTAGCCTCCTTCTCTCCTAGGCTGTCCAGTTGGATTCCACGGCAGGAACTAGGTTATACTAGCCCGTCATATGAGATGATGTTCATTCAGATTCATTTTCCTATGGAAACAGGGGAACATGTTATTAACACGAAAGAAGACATGAACAGAGGGACATGTAGTAGAAGCAAAAAGTAGCGCCTATGATGCAGTCAGTGGCCATATGTGAGGCTAAATCACCTTGTTTGAGCCACAACCACTGTGCTCGAATGCGCCGGGGTATCCATCCATCCATCGGAGATGCAGTAATAAAAATAAGCAAAGATGGCAGCGCCGCAGTAATACGCCCCACTGTGATAATAGAAAAGATCAAATCAAAAAGGGTACTTTTGATCCACAAAGAAAAGAAATATATTAGCCACTCTAGGCCCGGAAATCGTACATGCGAACTTGGTAGTCATCGCCGCCAGTGATGAAGCGGCTGTCGCTCAGGCCAATGCAGTTGACAGCTGCACTGTGGCCTTCATAGGTATCCTGGCCGGTAGGAACGCGAGGATCCCAGATCTTGACCATGCGATCCATGCCACCAGAGGCAATCCGCAGGGTATCAGCAGAAAGAGCCCAAATACCTTCCAAATGTCCGAAGAAGGTACGAAGGCATCTTCCGGTGCTGGTTTCCCACAGTCTGATGGTTGTGTCCACACCGCTGGTGAGGATATAGCGCGGGGGGTTCAATGCGGCCTTGGTCCTGGTCAAAAGAGGGGCCGAATGGTGAGTTCTGGAGAGACAGAGACTTGGCCTCAAGAAGAGGGGAAAGCGTGCTCAGAATGTTGTCGCCATTTTGAGAAGAGGTGCTGACGTGGTCGTTCTCGCAGTCGGCGAGGTGATTCTCCAGTTCAATTTCTCGGGGCAAAGCAATAACTTGCTGGACGGCTCCGATGTGGTTGTGGAAGACTCGGATGCAAGTCTTGGTGTCCAGGTCCCAAAGGCGCGCGGCACCATCGTCGCAAGCGGTCAAAACTGTGCGCGAAACCGAGTCGATTTTGACGGCGTTGACTCCCTGTGGGTGGGGAAGAACGAAAGTAGACTTGTCCTTGAAATTCCAAATTTTGACAGTGCGATCGACTGAGGCAGATGCAAGCAGGGTGCAATCAAAGTGGAGGGCGATGACCGCTTCAGCGTGGCCATTGTACTTGGAGATACATTCGCCTGTGCGCCAGTTCCAGACTCTGATGCTGCGATCCAAACTGCCAGTAATCAATTTGGTGTCATCGAACTGGAGGCATCGCACTCCAGCAACGTGGCCTTTAAGAGTTCTCAATTCTTCGCCAGTATCTGTGTCCCAAATCTTAACTGTAGCATCATAAGACCCAGTCATCAAGATATTGTCCTCGAACTGCAGACACATGACACTATCTCTGTGGCCCTTGAAGACTTTGACCGAGCAGCGCTTGTGTTTCCAATTCATACCGACAACAAATCGATCTCGATAAACCTCCTTCCACGGACGGTAACGAGTTTTGAAGTAACTCTCGTCCTCTTCAGGAGACTGAGGAAGCGATGCGCAATGGCGCTTTGCAAGGGCGGAGGCTTCATCATCAGATTCCAACTTGCGTTTGCCACTGGATGCAGATTCCACTGTCGAGCAAGTTTCGACCATTGCGGCTTCAGTAGACCCAACGTCGGGCTTGTTGTTGCCCCAGTTGGTGGCGCGCAATTCAATCTCACGCTTGGCTTCGCGCAGGCGCTTGCGATCCAGAAGAGGAAGACCCCAGCCACACTTGTTACACTTTCGGCGGATATGCTGTTCGCACATCCGGTGCCACACCACATCATCATCGGCCAGGGCTCTCCAGCGGGGAGAAACTTGTGCAGCTCGACACAAGGAGGCCGTATCGAGGTAACGGAGAATTTTGAAGGACAGCTCTGGAGGGAGGGCACCGAGGAAATCGATTCGGATGAGTTCGCGGACACTGGCAGAGATGTAGGATAGTTGGGGGAAGCATGACTGCGCCAGAATTCCCTGGAGCATGAGAGTTCGTTGTTTCGCTGGAGCAGCGGAGAACAACGACCACACATGGGAAATACCCTGCTGGTCACTTTGAGGAAGTAAATTCAGCTCCGACTGCAGCTGGGTCATCGACTGTTCATCGGCTTGGCGTCTGCCACATTTTGAGTCCGGTTGGTGACGATAGCAGTAGCTGGCATTCACAAGGTTTTGTTCGGATCGATTTGAAACTTGTGATCGGAAAGGCGCATATTGCCGTGGCTGATATTTTTCGAGGAACGGAGCCACATTTTGCCTCGCTAGTTCCTCCAGGGTTTGTGTGGTGCTGTCGGTGTCTTTGCGCTGCAGAGAGCGGTTAGAGTCGGCGTTCGCACTGACCCCCGAATTTGCGATAGCCAGGCTTCGCTGTGTGGACGAGGGTTCTGGTGCCTTGGCCATGGTGACTGATCCGGTCTCGCGCGGTGCGGTGCGAGGGGACGGCCGCTTGGACGAGTGACAGTCGCGCCTGATGTACCGAGATAAGAATTTGTCAATTTGCAAATAATCCTATTCTCCTGAGTTGAAATTGTTTATAGCAAGAAGCACAGAGGAAGATATCAATCAACGTTGCAATAATAGTGTCCTTTGAAAAATTTCCCCCAAGGTCACAAAGAGTTGAGAGGGAGGGGAGTCAAGGGCTATCGATTGGGGCGATATGAGTACCGTGAGAGAAGGATTGAGATAACAGGGTTATTGAGCTCGACGACTGAAACCACTTTGGACAATAAAGAGAAAGTGAAATAAAATAAAATAGAAATAGAAATTTTTTGGAAATAGGATTTTAAATCAGAGAATTATTCAGGAGCTGGGAAAATTGCACAATCTGGATGTGTCTTTTCGATATCGCCATCGATGAGTCCGGGGAATTGCGTGACAGTGGCAGAGCGGCAAATACGTGATCTGGGCGGTGAGACTGCACGTGACTATGATCCGCATCGCGCCATCTCCACGACATCGCACCTCAATTGATCATTTCCTACGCATCCGACAGGCTGATTCGCTATTTTGGGGGTTTAACTGGGCTGAAACGGTGCATCTTATCTTCTGTGTGCTTTTGAGACTAGTCTTGTAGCCATCTCACACCGACACTCACCCTTTGTGAGACCCCACTGTCCCCAGCTTTGTTGGTTAATACCATATACCCTACTCCGGTCTATCTAAACCTTCTATGAACGGCTTGCCGTGTCTACAATTTACATTGTACCCAGTGAATCAACTATCGACCGAGAACGGCTCGAGAACCACTGGTAAGAAGCAATTTTTTCATCTTTTATTTGCAAGTCATTTCTAGGCTGGATCGTGCTTCACTTTCGGTCTACCGTGCACAGCCCCGGCTCATTATACCGAACTCCCGAGGTCCTCATTACACCCAGCTCCCTGGTATATGGGCTACACAGTAGCAACCTTCCCCCTCTGGTCTTGTTTAAGTTTACAGGAATCTGATTTGGTAAATTTAGGCCTATACTGAAGTGAAGTGAAAGGGGTGCAATCAACCTCTTTCCTCGTAGCTGTGTCAATTTCACTCTCGCCCCTGAGAGGTCTATCTGGTCCTCAACCCTGGTCCTCAAGCCTGGACTTAACTTATTCCGGATGCGCCATTGGCAGGGTTAATTGATTCTCACAAATTCTCACAATGGCATCATCACAGTCATCTTCATCATCTATTCGTCCGCAGGCTGGACTGGACGAAGGGAACCAACTGCCTCTGCCCCAGGTTGACACTCTGATATCGTATCTGCTGGGTGCCAAACGTTCGCTCTCCTCCATTACTCACGTCTGGCGGGCCAATGAAATAGTCACTGCGTCACACTCGGCACTGGAGAAGAGTGTCGTCTTGTGCTCCCGGACAGGCTTCTTACGCCGAGGCCTTAATGGGCAACTCCGGCTTTTATACGATGTTCGTACCGAGGTTGAACAAATATCATACCGAGGTCGTGACGAGTTTTCAGTGGCACTAAAAAGCCTAGATGCTGCTGATGCTCGGCTCAGAAGCACGTTAGATCTGCTCCGCTCAACTATCGTCCACGCCTCATTCAGACCTGGTGATGAGGAGCAGAAGTCTCTTCATGACTTTGTTGATGAGCGGGGTGTTGAAGAGCTACATGCCTCCCTAAAAGCATCTATCGACCGCACTAACGCAGCGCGTGCCGAATTGGACACGTCCAATCGTGAATTTGATGACGAACTTCAAGCCACCAGGCAGTCGCTTCGTCACTACCATACAGCCACTAAGTTGGCGTCATCCCGACTATCAATCACATCTTCCTCGTCGTCTGCGTCCGATTCCGGCCTTCTCACTTTGTCGTCTATGCCGGGCCAGATCCAATCGCTGGAGGCCCATGCTCAAGAAATGGCCATTCTTTTGGAAGCTCTGGTCAGACATTTTGATCTTTGTGTCACCGCCGTGAAGCACACAGATGGCGGAGGGGCACTTGCACGATCCATCACAGGGGATATGCCAACTGGTGTCGATGGCAGCAATGACGGAATGCCGAACATCGGGGCAGAGATCAACGCCAATTTGAATGCACCTCTTGATCCAATGACTGACGCCGAGTATCAGGAGATGGTGGCTGTTTTGATCAAAGATGCCCCTGAGGCGGACGATGTTGTCATGGAGATCCAGGATCGCATTAATGAGATGGAATCTATATTTGAACAAGTCCAAGCTCAGCGGGATGCCCTGCTGTCCATCTCCAAGGCAACGATCGAAGTTCACAGCCACCTATCCTCTCTTGCCTCCTCTCGCTTACCACGTTACATTTCTCAGGCACACAATTTCACTCGCGTATGGCATGAAGAAAACGACCGCATTAACTCTGGCCTCGTTGAACTCTCCGATCTGCACTCCCTGTACGACGGATTCCTCAACGCTTACGACAGCCTGATGCTGGAAGTAGCACGTCGGCGTCACGTTCGCCAACGTGTAGAAAAGGTGCTCCGAGATACCCGGCACAAACTGGATCAGCTTCATGATGAAGATGCCGCTGCTCGTGATACTTTCCGTGTCGAACAGGGTGACTTTCTTCCCTCTGACATATGGCCTGGGCTTGGCCTAGCACCAATGCAGGTTCAGTTCTTGCGCCTCTCGGGCGGCCACCTGGATAATGTGCCTGAGGCGCAGACTGCAGTCGAGGAACCCAGAGTACATGAGTACACAGGAGGTGCCAAGGCGGGAGTACCGGAAGGAAATGGCGAAGGAGAACAAATCCCTGACCTCCCGAGAGACCTTATTGAAGAAGCCTATGCAAGGGTCAAGGCACGGAACAAGGTCGTGGCCCAAATGCACACCGCTTGATTTCCCCGATGCTCGCTGCTCTCTACTCTCATCCGGTGCACATTCCCATTAGCGTCCTTGGCCTCGCTCTAAACTTTCCACTACATGTGTAGCCAAGATGGAAATTGGATACTTGGCATCTTATAACCGCTTCTAACTACTACATCGTGACTATAGTATCATTGTGACTTAAATGATGAAGACACAATAGGTCTGACCTTCCGTCATGCTCGTTCATTTATGTTCTCTGCTCGATGCTCATTTTCTAGATGCATACTCTTGCGCTATTTCGCGGGATGTAAGCACTATTTGATGACACTTGTGGGAATGTATGGCGAGAAGACGGATTGGGGTGACGTCCAAAGAGAGCTCTGATAAGTTGTACCTTGGTTGAAATTCTTTTTTTTTTTTTTTTTTTTTTGGTATATTTACCCATATACTATGAACAAAAAATAAATGGCCGCATATCTTGTCTTTTTTTTAGATATCTTGTTACCAGATATTTCCCCCGTTGTTGGTATTGTAGCTTGAATATAGGCGAAGATTGCTCAAAATGTATGTTTCGATATACGAACTGTGCAGGTGACTTTTCTATATATAACGAGCAGGAACCAGTGATGATGTACTCCAAATGAGATTTTTGGGTTTAGTCTTGAGGAGCTTGCATCAAATATTTATTTAATTTTTCCCATTTCTATCAAGTATAGACCAAGGTATCAAATGCCCAATGCTCCATCCATATATGCATTTCATCATCAAATCATGCCAAGCGGTAGATTGACACAGAGTGCAAACATTCGCAACTCGTGCACTTGCAAAGAAAGATAAGGTCAGAAAGCTACGAGAGCTTATTTCTTCTTTCTCGAAGACCCAGAAACAAGCTTCTTCTTCATGTGCTTCGGCATCTTGTTCGCCCGCTGCTCACGCTTCTCCTCCTTCACCTTTGTCTTGTGGTCGCGCTTGGAGTCTTTGTCTTCGAAACGCTTGCCTCGTGGTGGCTTCGGCGCGAACGGGTCTGTTTCTTCGTCGTCTGAGTCCGACCCTGAGACGGAGACACCGCCGCTTGCATCAGACTCGGCTTCTTCCTCGACGGCATCAGTGGCAGTGGCCTTCTTCTTGCCACCGGCCAAGAGGTCTCCGTAAATCAGATCAGCACCTTCGCCATCGCGAATGCGTTCGGCGTCACGCTCGACATCATACACCTGCTCTAGGGTCTGGGGAATATATTGTTGACGGAAGACAGCAGTGTCGACATCCTCAGCCTCCTGCTGCTCATCGTCACCCTCTTCACGGGCAACGAGGAGCTTTTCGATGGCACTAGTCATCTCTTCACTGCCAGCAGTCACATCAATCGGTCCTTCTGGGTTGATGATGAACTGGAATACAGTCCGCTCGGGAAGAGTGAGAATGTTCTTTCGGCGGAAGAAGTCGCTGACGTTCTTGATATCCATGCGCAGGAATTCCAGACTGCGCGGGTGGTCGTGCTCAACACTTTGACTGACATCAATGATGTACAGGCGTTCCTTATGGTACAGAATGTTGTACTCGCTCAGATCAGCGTGCACCAGACGGCAGGTCTGATACATGACGCGCATATAGCCCAACAATTCGATATACAATGAGCGCCAACGAGTCTCAGGCTCAGGGATATCGAAGTCCACATCCTTGAGGCGGGGTGCGCCCAGACCCTTTGAACTACCAATGAATCCCATAACAAGGACGTGGAGACGAAGGAAGATAGGCTCGGGGCAGGGAATACCAGCGGCATAGATTCTGCGCAAGTTTCGCATCTCCTTTTCGGCCCAAAGTTTGACCATGGCGCGGTTGTTGCTCTTGTTGTATCCCTGACGGAAACGGAACTCTCCAGTCACGTACTTATCACGATCCTTGAATACCAAAATACTTGTCTTGTAGACCTTGATCGCACGGTGGAGTGGTGCAGCATCCTCGTCTTCCTGTGAGATGGACATGGCATGATAGACATTCGCTTCCTTTCCGGTGGACAAACAACCGTGAATTTCTGAGACAAGACCTCGGTTGATCATCTGCAGCAGAAGCATGCGCGTACGGGGATCCAACACTTGTTCTGATGTGGCTCGGTCTGCCTTGTCTCCACCCTTGT